TTTATTCCACCTTTTAATAATTTAAAAAAAATTTTTAGGTTTGTATATTATGAATTTATTTTTGTGTTTTAATTATATGAACCCTCCTTGTTTTAAAAATTTTAAAAAAAGTGTTAGTCGCAAAAAAATTCCTCGTGGGGTCCCACCCAAAGGCACGAGGGGAAAATAAAAAACCCCCTTTTCTTTTTTTCTTCACTTTTAGATTATGATTTATTCCCCTTCCTTTATTTTTTTTTTAGGGGCCCACTTTAAATTTTAACGTAAAAGCAGCAGATTTTTTTTTTTAAACAGTAAGGAAAACAGGGGGTTTTAAACTATTTTAGGGGATCTACCCTTTTAAAAAAAAAGGGGAGAAAAAATTTTCAAAACTGAAATTTGTGAATGAATTTATTACTCATTGGTTCCACAGCATTTTCCAGATAAAAAAAAGATTACCCCTCTCCAAAAAAGTTTGTTTAATGAGGGTTTTAAAATCTATAGATAACCCATGTCACAAACAAAACGTAAAATTTTACCGCCAACAAAAATTTTCTCGAGACCTTTTAAAAAAAGGGTTTTAGATTAAACTTTCAGAAATTTTAAATTTTAAAAAGGGAAATTTCAGTTTTAGTGCGGAAAAAATACCCGTATAGTTTTGTGAATTTTTTGGTTAAATGACTCGTGCAAATTTTCCAAATAAAAAGGGAGTGCAATAGGGGGCAAGCGTTTTTAAAGGGAAATTCTAGTTGGGTTTGGGGTTGGGTTTGGGTTTGGGGTTTGGGGTTTGGGGGGTTTGGGGTTTAACGTTGGGGGTTTTTTTGTTTTTTTCTTAAAATTATTTTTTTTTTTTTTTCCCTTTAATTTTAAAATTTTTAAAAAAAAAACCGTAGTTGATTTTAAAAATTTTGACAATTTTTAAAATAATAAAAAAACTTAAAACCCTAATTTTTTTAAAAGGGTGGACCCAAGCCATAGGAAGGCCTCAGTCAATGCCCAAAAACTCCCAAAGGGGGGTTACATTTGACCCAAAACCCGCGTCAGGGAAAAAAATTGTTTTAGTTTCCCCGACAAACCCCTTTGCAAACCAATTTAATAATAATAATAATAATAATTTTTTTAAAAAAAATAATAATAATAATTTTAATTTTACTACTACTACTTTCTACTACTAATACTACTAATAATAATAATAATAAAAATTTAAAATAATAATAAAAATTTCTCTAAAAATTTTAAAAAATAACTCCCCTTTTCTAAACAAAATTAAAAAACCCAAAAAAAAAAAAAAAATTCTTTATATTCGATTTTAAAGATTCTTAAAATCACTAGTTTTTTTTGTTTTCCCCTGGAACCTGAGAAAATATCAGAAATATCAACTTTAAAAACACGATTACAGTTAGCATATTTTTACCAGTTTTTAATTTAAAGGCATGAAAATTTTTTAATTTTAAATGAAAATAAAAATTTGAAAAAAACCCTTTTTAGTCCTCACTCGATATTGCAAATTAAATTTGCAATTTTTTTCCTGTGGAAAAATCAGCATATTCGGCCCCAATAGTCTTAAAAAAAGGTTTTTCCAGTAAATTTGTGTTTTTTTTCCGAAGATGCCAAAGGATTTAAATTAAAAATAACAGTGCTGCAGTTACTGACTGCGAGAAAGTGTTGGGGTAACGCAAGCTTGTGTCGGGCTGCGGTAAGGTTGGGTCTCCAGCGTTCCGTTTTCCCCCTCCCCCGACGATCCAACCCGTACACGTGGAGAGGCGGTTCCACTCTCTAGGGGTATCTCCCAGCTGGGATACCCCCAGCCACAGGGCCCCCACGATCCCCCGCTGTTCACTGTCGGGGTTTGGGTTGTTTTTTATTTGCTTTTCCATGGGGTTGGCTGTCAGTTAAAAAAAATTATGAACAGGCGGCAGTTTTTCCCGCAGCAATTTGCCCCGTATTCCACTGCATTCAGCTTTTTTAAATGGTATATTTGGGGTTTTTGCATTAGACAATGGTTTTTTTAAAATTTGAAGTATTATAAAAAGCCAAAAATTAAAATTTAAAATTTCGACCCAAAACCCAAAACCCGTTAAATCTACAAAATTATTTTAAATGAAAATTTTGAAGGTGATGCTACTAGTGAATAAAAAAATGATGTGGGGTAGCGCAAGAAATAATTCGTCCCGACAAAATTTGGGAGTTTAATTTTGATTAAACTTTTGAATGCGGATGGTGTGTTAATTATGTTGGGTTAAAGGGTTTCGAAACGAATTTCCCCCTCAAAGGGAAATATTTATAAATAATATTTTTATATATTATATATAAATATTATATTTAAAAATGATATATATATATAAAAATTTTAGGGGGGGAAACCCCCTCTTAGAACTGTTTTTAGGACCCTCATTTTCCCCAGAGAAAAAATAAACTTGCTTCAAAGGGGAAAACCAAAGGTTTTTCCCTGAGCTGTTTTTTAGAAATTTTTTTCCCACCACCCCCCAATTTTAAAAAAATTTTATTTAAAGACAAAATACATTGACAAAACATTCACAAAAAACGATAGAAAGAAAAACAACAAAAAGGGGACTCAGAGCTACATCTCGAATACTTCGTCCGCTCCCCGGGGGGGCCCTGCGGCCCCGAATGCTGGAAGGGGGATTTCCCTCTGGTTTTCCCAAAACCTTGGGGTTTTCCGAAAAAGGAACTGGTTTGCCCCGTGGTCCTTGGGGTTTTATGAAAGAGCTTTTTTTACCCAGGGTCTATTAGGAAAATTCAGAGCACACTTGCCCCATGCTCCCCCGGGTCCCACCCAAATTTGGGGTGAATTTTTAGCAAGAGGGAAGGTCTTTTTATTTTCGGAAACTTTTTGGGGCTCCCCGTGGCCCCGGCCTTTCCCCCCCCTTCCACTACGGGTATGGAAGTAGGTTTTCTCCAATGTGGCGGCAAATGTGTTGTCCCAGGGGAATCTGCTTTCCATCCTTCCAAGGTGAAAAGTGGCTCCATTATATAAATATATAATTAAAATTTTAAATATAACTATATATTATATATAAAAATATTATATATATATTATATAATATATTTTTGAGTATTACAGGGGGGGTGATGACTAAAAAACTTTCCCCCGACATTAAAGGGGTTTAAAAATTAAAAAAAGTGTTTCAAAATAAAAAAGAAGTGGGGCCGGTTTTTATTAGTTGAGGAAAGGGGGCGTAAACACACATTTAGAAGTTCAAATAATGAATAAAACTAACATCACTGTTTTTTCGTTTTGGCCCCCTCCCTCCCCCTGACCTTTCCCCCCATTTTTAGCTTGCAAAGGGGATGTCACAAGACCTTCCTCCATGAAATTTACTCAAACATTTTTACAACTGATTCTCTAGCGGGTTTTTTCCAATTTTCGTTTTAAAATTTTAAACATTTGGCAAATGACGTCACTTGGAGACTTCTCCAGTGAAAATCACAACAGTGGTGAAGCTCTGCGAGCAGATGTTCCTAATTTAATTTCATCCCAAAAATTTTTTTTTAAAAATTTTTTTTCAACTCAAGGGCAAAACTCCCTTTTTTTTCCAGGGTTGATGTTAAAATGACACTCGTTCCGATTAATATTTCACTAATAGCACTTGCAGAGAGAAAGACAACTGACCATAATTAATTGTTTATAAGATATTACTTGGAAATCTCGAAAATCTGGCACTTTCAATTTTGTCAAGAATATTTACTTTATAAGAATATTTAAAAGTAAGTTCATGCCATTAAGAGGGAGTGAATATGCACATTTCATCACTGAAACCAAAATTGTTTTCTGTAAGAGGTTTTCTAAAAAAAAATACCAATGGTGGCAGTGCATGGTTTTCACATCACTTGTTCTGAGCACTTTCAAATGATTTATTACCAATAAGTTGATAAAGAAAGCAAGCTGCAAGTGATAATTTATCACCAAATCCCTTGTAATCCACATTGCATTTTTCCTAGAAATAAATACACTGTTAATCACTCGCTTTAGCATAAAGGAAGGAATAAGTAACTAGTTGTCTTTTCTTTACATTGTGATACTCACTCGGGGATGTCTTAGCAGTATTGTCCTCAGAGTCAGAGTGGTCGTCCGTGGCAGCCTCTGGGTTTTATATAAACGAGGACGTCAACGTGCGCAGCGGGAAGCTCGGAGCTCCTGGCACCATGGTGACCTAGAGGTGTGATTGGCCAAACAAATTAATTCTCTATTCTAGTCCAGTCTAGTCTGTGTCTGTCTCTCTCTGTCTATCTCTTACTCTCTTTCTTTACATAGATACATACACACACACAGTTAGGCAAGCATCGTTGATGCTTATATTACGTCTGAATTCGTTCTCAGAATTCAACCTGATTGCATATACTCCGCTAAATTTAACTCTCCCTTTCTCACTGATTTTCTTTCTTGTAGCTTACAGAACCTTTATTCCAATATATCATGTTATTCTTTTTTTGGGTAATTTCTTCTGTATTTCAATAATAATCTTAGACCAAGACAGTAATTGTCAGGGGTATTAAATTATATATATATATATAGATAGATAGATAGATAGATAGATAGATAGATAGATAGATAGATAGAAAGAGAGTGATACATATATTCCAAGAAGTGTATATACCCGAATTATTGGTTGACAACATGACCTTTATTTCTAACCTGAGGTTTTGTAATACTAGGTAGGTTAGTGTTACTGTGGCAAAGAGATCCTGTACGATTCATGACTAATTTTTATTTGTTTATGCTGTACAGGTAATGTAGTTTACATGTAATGAATATGCAATATATTTAGGGTAGACTAATGCAAATGTTACTTAAAAGATTTAGACAGACTTATACAGGAATCCTTGTGCAATTAACCACAGTCATATATACAATAAATAAAGATAACTAATAATCAAATGGTCAGTTTCAAAAGTATGACTTATTATTTCTTGCTGATGTAACTGCATTTCAGTATCATTATTCCTGGCCCGGCGTCAGGAGATAATGGAGCGAGAAGAGAGAGAAGGTGACCTCCCAAAACAGGATCAGGATGGCGATAAAGGATCCCAGAAACAAAAGGTAGAAGGCTCCCTGCATGTGTTGCATTCCAAGCACCACTTCACTCTTGTCCTGCAGAAATATCACCAATTAAATGCCTAGAGAATACCCGGAGAGGGTTACGGGGGTCAACGCCCCCGCGGCCAGGTCTGTGATCAGAAATTAAGGTGAAAGCTTTGCGTTACATTTTTTTTATAATAAAGCAACTGTTTATCATTCAATTTAATAATTAACAATCAAGGGGAATTAGCGATATTTACCGTTCCAGCGTCCCCTACGGCTATTTGAGGACTGAGGGCAGCTGCTGCCCTGTTCTCCCTCACGCGCCTGGCTATCACTTCCTGATGCCAGTAGCTGATAAAGCCAGCGTCTTCCAGTCGTGACATGAGTTCATGAACTCGCTGATAAAATGGTGCGCCTTTCCTGTAAAGTCATTAAGATAACCTCAGTATATAAAAGTAAAAGATACATACCTGACGAAATTTTACGAAATTAAACCATTCGATAAGTTATGAAAAGACGACCACGTTATGGAGATACTTCTTTGTGTCTTAATTGACTGGTTTACAAGGTTTAACTGGCAAGTGGATAGAAAATGTTTTAATCCTTCAAAATATATATGAAATTTTAGTGATGAAACGGCATTTGTTTAATCTGCTAGATCAACAAATGGACGTGAAGAGTTACCTGAAGCCCCATCCAAAGGCAGCCATTATGGAGACACCTTTCTTGCTGATAAAGTATGGTGTGTTGCCGTGGGAGTCAGTGTAGTGGGAGGCGATAGTAATGAAGAGGTTATTCTCCCAGAAAATAAGACTATAGTGGCCCTCCAGGACCTTCTTCAGCGCCTCTTCCTTTGATAATTTCTACTCAAAAAGAAAATAAATTTCAGTGCATTTTGTATAGAAACTTTAAATAGGAATATGACTGCATATAATACAGACTGTTGGATCATATATTTGAAAATTTCTATATCGAAAAGAGGGTATTGCGAGACTAATAGAAAAACCCTTTGACTTTTACTGCCCTAGTTCTCTCAGAGTGCAACGGACAAGTGACGTAGCAGCAGCAACACACAGCAAGAGGCATTCTTGAGCTTCCCCAGCGCTCGGGCTTATTGCCCTTATCTGGGGTGTGGCTCCAAAAGGATCCTGTAGTGCTTGCTGCCTCTTCATCTCCTGATACCGTCTGCTGCTATGCAGCTGCCACACCCTTCGAGCCCAGTGTGGGCGGAGTTTGTGGTAGTCGAAGGTGCTTAGCTTCTCCGAGTCCCGTGGGGACCGGAATGGGGGTTAGGCCTGGGGACAGCTGGTCCCAGAAAACGAGGAAGTACCTGTACCCCCTCCAGTGGCAAACGTACGTCTGACACACTCCCACGACAAGGAGCCAAAGCTGAGTCACCTCTTGGAAAAGGCCCTGACCGGTGATTATACTGGCGAATCTACAACAACAACAACCTAGTTCTCTTTCAGCTACTTATCTAGTTAGTTGACAGTTGAGGGTCTCAAGCTAGAAAATCATTAGTGTACCTTAGATAGGGCTAGTCTTCGAAATATATTGAGGCAACATAACTAGGAGAGATTTTTAGTCAGTAATTAATAAGTGTATAAAATGGTTGCTAAAAATCACTGCCAACCTAATTGTCCTAAGGTTACATCACCTTTATATATTTTCGGTAAAGCTTCTTATAGATTATTATATACAGTTCTTGTCTAAACTTTACAGAATGGACATAAATGCGCTGGAAAATATTCAAACAGGGATAACGAGGTTGATCCCATGTGGACAGAAACCTCTCCTACAAGTATAGAATACAGGCACTGAATTTGCATCTCTGTAAAGACGTAGATTTGGAGAAGGTATGATTTAAGTGTACAAATGGAAAGCAGGGATAAATAAAGGGTAATAACGTTCTGAAGATATTTAACCAAGACGGGACCCGCAGCATAGAATTCGAGTTGGACGAATTTAGATTCAGAAAAGATATAGAGAACTACTGGTTTGGCAATAGAGTTGCAGATGAGTGGAACAAACTCCCAGGTACCTTTATTGAAGCGAGAACTTTTAGTAGCTCTGAACATATGTTGGACGGGTACACGAGCGTGCGTGCTTGTGGGTCAGCTCGTCTGCAATGCTCCTTCATTCCTGAGTATTTTGTAAATTATACTTAATTCATGTGTTTGCATTCATGAGTTATATTCATTATCATTCTTGAGTGACGAATGTCGACGCTTGACTGAGTACATTTACAAAAACAAACTAAACATGTTGAGTAACTAAACTCTCCGGTATAGAGATGCAAATAAGTACATAGTTCTCCTAAAATATAGATGGCTGTCAACTATAAATATTTACATTTGTTGATTTGTCTTTTATAAACACTTATAAATAGCATATGTGAACAAAAACAAAACGCAAACATGACTTACCTCCATTTTCTTAAAAATGTCTTGGATAACAGGGTCAGGATGCTTGGAGAAATATTCTAAAGGTACCCCTTGAAGGAGCCAGGGTTCAGTGCCCCATTTCCAATTCTTCAGCTTTGCCAAGTCATCGAAGGTTTCAATAAGCTTGGTTTTTCCATGAATGGTCATATGAGCGATCAGTGACGAACGGTAACCATTAGTGATGACTAGACAGAACACCAACCACCACCCCATCAACACCTGTATGTACAGAAAGACTGTCCCATAATGATAACCAAATAAAACACCATCTACTATGACAATAACAGCTGCAAACTCACCGAGTTTATCAAGTACTGATGAGAAAACTGAATAATATACCGCACCAACGGTTGTAAACACGCAATGAAAATGTAATCCGTAGCGATTAATAAACAAAATACTGCCCACCATAATTTAAAAAATTGCACCCAGGGGAATTTTTTGTCTTACAGTGGTAACTGAACTAAAATTAACCACTACTAATACACCAAAGGTTATACTCACAAGGGAGGTTTAACTTCTGTCCACCAGCTAGGCTGATAAGTCATTAATATCACTCGTCACATCATGAATACATAAAACCTGGACACAATGCGGATATTACACCGAAGTGATGAATGTATCTCTGTGTACACTAACTATTTTGGTCAAGAGAAGTACAGTCACATTCTTTTGGATAAGCGTCGCGAGAAGTTATATGAAAAATTTACTCTTCCTGAAACGTGGACTGAAGGTTCAAGAGGTGACTGCTCCAAGAGGGCGCCCACGCCATACAAGAGAGCCGTGCTGAAGCTAACTGCACTCCCATCCGGCACCCACCGCTGCCACGCCAACTGTAGCAACCAGAGGATCATGCCCCACATCCCAACGCTCACCAGCAGCGCCAGCCAAAGCTCCCCTGCAGAAGGATACAGAAGGGTGATTATATAGCCACACTGATACACACGCACACAAAGGCGTTTAAAGTTTGATAGTTTAATGATTACATTTTAAAACAAAAAGAATATTAGATGGTCTAATTCCTATGCAACTTTAGGTAATGAATAAGATAATTCATAAAATTGATGGTATACAACAAATTTTAACGTCCCTTCCCGACTCTTTTAATACACTTAGTGTCATTAATGCATGTTTATTTTATTTCTTCCAAAATCCAGAATAGAAAATTAGAAATATCACAAATAAACTCTTAAGAAAATCCCAAATAAGAATCATAATAAGAATTTTGCTGATTGCCTAGAACTGATCAGTACCTGTAAACGGTCTTATCAGCGATAGGTTTTCCGGTAACAGTGAAGGCTTCAGAGATATTACAGTCATTGGGTCTGAGGGATATCCCCTGAGGAACTCCACGACCTTCAGACGCTCTGGGGAGGGACCAGCTATGGTACTGAAGTCTGTTTCTTCCCGCTGGAGCTGACCCATCATCCCCGTGAAGACGCCGTTCTCCTGCAGCCCCCATGATAAATTTGGTTCTGCTCGAATCTCAAAGCTGTTTGGTGAAAGAAATTTTAGGCTCAAACCATATCAGGAAAGTTGTGTGTGTTGTGTCTAAAATCCACATATACACTTACACACACACTTAAACACCATCGTTCCCCCTCCCCCAAAACACACACTTACATACACACACACTTTTATACATATATACATACACACACACACACACACACACACACAACGCGCGCGCGCATGCATTCCACATGAAAGCTGTGAAAAAATGTAAGGAAACACTACCTTCATCATTGAATGCCAACTAATCATTGATTTCAGACTCAGGGAGATGAGATACTTAACCCTGGGCAAATACCTCATCCACTATGAAGCGCTTGAAGATATCTTCATTGTTAACCCTAATTCTGAAAAAAACTTTTTCTAGCAAGCCAGTAACACCCAGATGTCAGGGAGGTGTACTGTGTTAAGTATATTAGCAATTACATGTAAAGATTGAAGAATGTGTGTGGGTGAGAATATCTTATCACCTTTACATATCTCTATATCTCTCCATGTATTACTTAACCGTTGTGGTATTGTAACATTTCATTGCATGCAAGTAAGTGTTTCTGTTAAACAAACCATATTCTTAATTATTAACGTCTTCTCTATCCTTTCCTACTTTTATGCCAAAGAAAAAGCTATTCTTACGTGAAATTGAGTGCTGCTGAGAATGTGTTAATTAGTCTGGTATCTATGGCATCCTTCTGTATCACTATACCACCTGGATTTCTGGTGTTCAGCTCAAAATCCATGTAGGGAAAGTGTGGCACAGCTACTACACGAAGCTTGTGGCCCAGCAGTGTTTGCACTTGTTCTGTTGAAATGATGTAGTGTGTTTGAGTAGGAAAAAATGGGTATGTAAACAGTTGTGTTGAAGAAAATGGGTTACCGTTAGAGAAACACCATTAGATAAGCAAATTTTATTTCCGATTAGATTTGGTAATGTTTATCTAAAGGAAAACAATTACATATAAAATCTGTCACTATATAACTGCAGAGTCTACCATAAAATTCTTTTACCCTGGAAGAGTTCATGAATGTCGTTGATGTTTGGCGTGATGACCCAGTGATTGATGACCTGTACGTCCGCTTCCCCGTTGTTGCAATACATACACCGCCGGTACACCCACACATCACTGCTCACTAATGCTCCACACACATCTAGAAATAAATAATAAATAAATATATTATATATATATATATATATATATATTATTATATATATATATATATATATATATATATATATATATATATATATATATATATATATATATATATATATATATATATATGCAAAACAACCACTGAAAGAATAGAGAAATTCCAAGCGCTTTCGTGACTACTCACATTATCAAGGAACTATGAAAGTAAAGCATTCAAGGAAGCTATATAAGGGGTCTGGCCAGCACCTCACTATCAGATCCCACAACGGTTAAACACCTGACGCGCGCCGACCCAACTTGGATAGGTCCTTTGCACAACTCACCCACAAACTATTCTACCCAAGAAAACTTAAAAATTATTATTTGTCCAGTGTATTATTAAATTCTTCCCAAATTCTATTAATTATAAATGGATCTAATTTATATAAACCAAAGGAAATATTCATATTATTGTCAAAACTGCTTTTTATGAAACAAGATTCAATTATATTCCTGGGAAGAATTTAATAATACACTGGACAAATAATAATTTTTAAATTTTCTTGGGTAGAATAGTTTGTGGGTGAGTTGTGCAAAGGACCTATCCAAGTTGGGTCGGCGCGCGTCAGGTGTTTAACCGTTGTGGGATCTGATAGTGAGGTGCTGGCCAGACCCCTTATATAGCTTCCTTGGATGCTTTACTTTCATAGTTCCTTGATAATGTGAGTAGTCACGAAAGCACTTGGAATTTCTCTATTCTTTCAGAGTGGTTGTTTTGCATATTCTGAAATCACCTGTTTACTATGATCTTATTGCATATATATATATATATATATATATATATATATATATATATATATATATATATATATATATATATATATATATATATATGTATACATATATATATATATATATATATATATATTTATATATATATATATATGTATTATATATATATATATATATATATATATATATATATATATATATATATATATATATAATATATATAATATATATATATTAATATATAATATATATATATGTATATGTAGTAGTAGGTTGGTATACAGCAACCACCCAGGGAAGTACTACCGTCCTGCCAGATGACTGTGAAACAAAAACCTGTAACTGTTTTGCATGATGGTAGGATTGCTGGTTTCTTTTTCTGTCTCATAAACACGCTAAGATAACAGGGATATCTTGCTACTCCTACTTACACTTTGGTCACACTTCACAGACACGCACATGCATATATATATATACATACATCTAGGTTTTCTCCTTTTTCTAAATAGCTCTTGTTCTTTTTTATTCTTCTATTGTCCATGGGGAAGTGGAAAAGAATCTTTCCTCCGTAAGCCATGCGTGTCGTATGAGGCGACTAAAATGCCGGGAGCAATGGGCTAGTAACCCCTTCTCCTGTATACAATTACTAAAAAAGAGAAGAAGAAAAACTTTATAAAACTGGGTTGCTTAAATGTGCGTGGATGTAGTGCGGATGACAAGAAACAATGATTGCTGATAGTTATGAATGAAAAGAAGTTGGATGTCCTGGCCCTAAGCGAAACAAAGCTGAAGGGGGTAGGAGAGTTTCAGTGGGGGGAAATAAATGGATTAAATCTGGAGTATCTGAGAGAGTTAGAGCAAAGGAAGGGGTAGCAGTAATGTTAAATGATCAGTTATGGAAGGAGAAAAGAGAATATGAATGTGTAAATTCAAGAATTATGTGGATTAAAGTAAAGGTTGGATGCGAAAGTGGGTCATAATAAGCGTGTATGCCCTGGAGAAGAGAGGAATGCAGAGGAGAGAGAGAGATTTGGGAGATGTTAAGTGAATGTATAGGAGCCTTTGAACCAAGTGAGAGAGTAATTGTGGTAGGGGACTTGAATGCTAAAGTAGGAGAAACTTTTAGAGAGGGTGTGGTAGGTAAGTTTGGGGTGCCAGGTGTAAATGATAATGGGAGCCCTTTGATTGAACTTTGTATAGAAAGGGGTTTAGTTATAGGTAATACATATTTTAAGAAAAAGAGGATAAATAAGTATACACGATATGATGTAGGCGAAATGACAGTAGTTTGTTGGATTATGTATTGGTAGATAAAAGACTGTTGAGTAGACTCAGGATGTACATGTTTATAGAGGGGCCACAGATATATCAGATCACTTTCTAGTTGTAGCTACACTGAGAGTAAAAGGTAGATGGGATACAAGGAGAATAGAAGCATCAGGGAAGAGAGAGGTGAAGGTTTATAAACTAAAAGAGGAGGCAGTTAGGGTAAGATATAAACAGCTATTGGAGGATAGATGGGCTAATGAGAGCATAGGCAATGGGGTCGAAGAGGTATGGGGTAGGTTTAAAAATGTAGTGTTAGAGTGTTCAGCAGAAGTTTGTGGTTACAGGAAAGTGGGTGCAGGAGGGAAGAGGAGCGATTGGTGGAATGATGATGTAAAGAGAGTAGTAAGGGAGAAAAGTTAGCATATGAGAAGTTTTTACAAAGTAGAAGTGATGCAAGGAGGGAAGAGTATATGGAGAAAAAAGAGAGAAGTTAAGAGAGTGGTGAAGCAATGTAAAAGAGAGCAAATGAGAGAGTGGGTGAGATGTTATCAACAAATTTTGTTGAAAATAAGAAAAAGTTTTGGAGTGAGATTAACAAGTTAAGAAAGCCTAGAGAACAAATGGATTTGTCAGTTAAAAATAGGAGAGGAGAGTTATTAAATGGAGAGTTAGAGGTATTGGGAAGATGGAAGGAATATTTTGAGGAATTGTTAAATGTTGATGAAGATAGGGAAGCTGTGATTTCGTGTATAGGGCAATAAGGAATAACATCTTGTAGGAGTGAGGAAGAGCCAGTTGTGAGTGTGGGGGAAGTTCGTGAGGCAGTAGGTAAAATGAAAGGGGGTAAGGCAGCCGGGATTGATGGGATAAAGATAGAAATGTTAAAAGCAGGTGGGGATATAGTTTTGGAGTGGTTGGTGCAATTATTTAATAAATGTATGGAAGAGGGTAAGGTACCTAGGGATTGGCAGAGAGCATGCATAGTTCCTTTGTATAAAGGCAAAGGGATAAAAGAGAGTGCAAAAAATTATAGGGGGATAAGTCTGTTGAGTGTACCTGGTAAAGTGTATGGTAGAGTTATAATTGAAAGAATTAAGAGTAAGACGGAGAATAGGATAGCAGATGAACAAGGAGGCTTTAGGAAAGGTAGGGGGTGTGTGGACCAGGTGTTTACAGTGAAACATATAAGTGAACAGTATTTAGATAAGGCTAAAGAGGTCTTTGTGGCATTTATGGATTTGGAAAAAGGCGTATGACAGGTGGATAGGGGGCAATGTGGCAGATGTTGCAAGTGTATGGTGTAGGAGGTAGGTTACTGAAAGCAGTGAAGAGTTTTTACGAGGATAGTGAGGCTCAAGTTAGAGTATGTAGGAAAGAGGGAAATTTTTTCCCAGTAAAAGTAGGCCTTAGACAAGGATGTTGATGTCACCGTGGTTGTTTAATATATTTAATAGATGGGGTTGTAAGAGAAGTAAATGCGAGGGTCTTGGCAAGAGGCGGGGGAGTTAAAAGATAAAGAATCACACACAAAGTGGGAGTTGTCACAGCTGCTCTTTGCTGATGACACTGTCTTTTGGGGAGATTCTGAAGAGAATTTGGGCAGAGATTGGTGGATGGAATTTGGTAGGGTGGCAAAAGAAAAAATTAAAGGTGAATACAGGAAAGAGTAAGGTTATGAGGATAACAAAAAGATTAGGTGATGAAAGATTGAATATCAGATTGGAGGGAGAGAGTATGGAGGAGTGTGAACGTATTCAGATATTTGGGAGTGGACGTGTCAGCGGATGGGTCTATGAAAGATGAGGTAAATTTCATAGAATTGATGAGGGAAAAAAAGAGTGAGTGGTGCACTTAGAATCTGTGGAGACAAAGAACTTTGCCCTTGGAGGCAAAGAGGGGAATGAAATGAGAGTATAGTTTTACCAACGCTCTTATAGGGGTGTGAAGCGTGGGTGATGAATTTTTGCAGCGGGGAGAAGGCTGGAGGCAGTGGAGATGTCATGTCTGAGGGCAATGTGGTGGTGTGAATATAATGCAGAGAATTCGTATTTTGGGAAAGTTAGGAGGAGGTGCGGGATTACCAAAACTGTTGTCCAGAGGGCTGAGGAAGGGGTTGTTGAGGTGGTTCGGACATGTAGAGAGAATGGAGCGAAACAGAATGACTTCAAGAGTGTATCAGTCTGTAGTGGGAAGGGAAAGGGGGGGTAAGGGTCGGCCTAGGAAGGGTTGGAGGGAGGGGTAAAGGAGGTTTTGTGTGCGAGGGGCTTGGACTTTCCCGCAGGGATGCGTGAGCGTGTTTGATAGGAGTGAATGGAGACAAATGGTTTTTAATACTTGACGTGCTGTTGGGGTGTGAGCAAAGTAACATTTATGAAGGGATTAGGGAAACCGGCAGGCCGGACTTGAGTCCTGGAGATGGGAAGTACAGTGCCTGCACTCTGAAGGAGGGGTGTTAATGTTGCAGTTTAAAAACTGTAGTGTAAAGCACCTTCTGGCAAGACAGTGATGGAGTGAATGATGGTGAAAGTTTTTCTTTTTTCGGCCACCCTGCCTTGGTGGAATCGGCGGTGTGATAATAAAAAAAAAAAAAAAAAATAATAATATATATATATATATATATATATATATATATATTTATAATTTATATATATATATATATATATATATATATATATATATATATATATTATATTATATATATATATATATATATATATATATATATATATATATTATATATATATATCGATCGTAGAGAGATATGACGATGTGAAAAAGCAGTGTCATAACCTTCCGTAAAGATCTTCCTGAGGCTTGAGTATTGGTGTCGTGGGTCATGGAGGGCCAGATAGAGGGCGTGGAGGGTGTTGCGGAGACTACGGCGGAGAAGCACATCCTTCACTTGTGTGCTTTTCCTTCCCAAGACTATCACACGAGTCTCTGCTAACTTCCACAGTCCTGCTGCCTCTGCCAACCTAAAAATTGATTGTACTTTAATATTTTGAGATGGGGTCATAATCTATGAAACTGGAGCTGACCTTTTGTTCCTTGGATCGGTCTTTATTACCGACTAGCATTACCTCCTAGTACTACCTCCTAGTATTCCCAGACGCGTTATAACGCTAACTGGTTTAATATCTATGACTCACGAAATCGTAATGACACGATTACAGACAAACCATACCACGGGCGGGATTTGAACCCGCGGTCAGAGAGTCTCAGAACTCCAGATCGTCGCGTTAGCCACTGGGCCAGCTAGCTTAATAGTTGGACGAATCTTATTAAGCTAGCTGGCCCAGTGGCTAACGCGACGGTCTGAAGTTCTGAGACTCTCTGACCGCGGGTTCAAATCCCGCCCGTTGTATGGTTTGGTTTATTATCTCCCTGTGAATATGGTAATCGCTCTATTCTACCCATATTGGATATAATTTAAAATTAGTCCCGCTTTTAAGTATAAATTTACATCAAGTAAGATTACTTTCAAACACGGAAGTGGGATAGATCTTGGCCTTCCTTATGCTAAAATATCTCTATCATGCTAAAATATCCTATCATGCTAAAATATCAATACCGGTTACTTTACATGTGTAATTATTCTTTAGCAAATATATTTTGATCTAAATTCTCTATGTCAATATAAGACATTTTTCTGTATTCAGAAAATCTCACTACAAAATCATATTAATATTCACATTTTGCTGAAATTTATTACTCTGAATATATCGAGAAAATCGTAAGGAAAAATGATCCATCTTCATGAAAAAAAATTACTTGAGAGCATTGGTGGTACTGTTAGTTGTGGTGAGGTCGAGGATGAGTCCCCGGCAGGTGGTTCTGGTGTCGCCCCACAGCCCCTGGAGGTGGTGGTCCTGGACCAACTTGTCCTGGGAGAACACCCATTCTGTGTCCATCACCATCCCAGCCACTACGCTCTTACTCAGGTATCTGAGGAGCAAATCATAAGATTTTACTCTATTGTTTTAAATTTAATATAACCATTGAGTAATTAGTTATTTATTGTTATTCATATTCGTAAAATAGTATTATTTACAATTATTATTGTGTTATTAAAATGCTGATGATGAAATACGAAAGTAATTTACCTGATTATAACTGAGGTAATGAGTGAGTGAGGTGTAGTAGCGATCACCAGGTGGCAGCCAGTAAGATGGTGCTCCACCACCTGTCCCACCATCATGCCCACATCCACGCCCACCTGCTCCAGGGCTCCTCTTATATCGTTCGTAGCTACGGATGCCCCTCTAGCCACCACTGCCACCATTATAATTACACAACGCCTGAATGACATCCTGGCCAAGAAGGTGCGTTTTTTAATAGAGTTTTCTTAATACTCTTCAAAATCAACACTTTAAAGATTCATTATAATCATTTTTTTTCAACGGGTAAAGTAATCTAGGATTACATCACTGGATTTAGTTTACATCAAATAAAATTAGTTGTTTAGAAAGTAAATGACATCCTACTGAATTGCCACAAATTTCGGTAACAGAAGCAAAACATTTTTGTACAAAACTAGCATATCTGATATTTTCCTTAACATTTAGGTTATGAATAAAAATATACTTTTGCATATGCGTGTCTCAGTTTATTTTTCACAGTTCATTTCCAGTTTCGAAATATATAAAATAGTGGTATTGACTAAAACCAATTTTCATTTATCTTTGAACAGTTATAGAAATCACTGATGTCATTTAATTAGTTTTTAAGTTTCCCCGAAAATCCACAGGATGACAATTTACGAACATTTAAAGATTAAGTAAAAATGTTTAAGATATTTAGCACAGGAGGGAAAGTTTATTGGTTTGTATATTATTTTATATCTTATTATTATTAGTAAAGTGATTAGTTAGCAGAACATTTTTAACAACTCTAGTTTGCTGTTCAGTTGTTAAGGAAAGCATTCGCAGTTTTTGTAAGGTAAAACCATACTCTTTTTCGAGTAATTTTTGGCATTACATCTCCAGTAATGTGACGGAATTAATTGATCTCGTGTTAAAGCCAGGTATATTTTCCATAATAACAGTAACCGTTGGGCAAAACAGGGTAGGTGCAACAGCAAGTGTGTGACCGTCTGCGGTAGGGTCGAGTCTCCAGAGTTCCGTGATCTCGCCAGCGACGGATCCACCTGTACACTGTGGTGAGGCTGGTTCCACTCTCCAGGGATATATCCCGAGCTGACATACCCCCCAGCCACAGCCTCACGATCCTCGCTCGTTCAGCTGAAGGAGTCTGATTGTTTATTATTTGCTTATCCATGGAGTTGGCTGTCAAAAATAGTATGGAAGTGTCAGTTTCTCATGATAGCAATTTATCACTATTCCACTATATTCAGCTTTAAACATTTATATTGTACTTTGTTTTATTAGATAGTTTATGTAAAATCTAATGCATTATATTAGCCAGTAATAATATTTAATTCATAATAAACGATACCGGTAGTTAAATTATACCCACATCAGTACATCTGTTTTTAGTGAAAAAAAGGAAGGTGATTCTACAAGTGAATGAAAGTGATGTTTGTAGCTACAGTGAAATATTTCATCCAAACAAAACTGGCTGTTAAATAACGTGTTGTGAATATGAGGAATGTTATGAATGTTGGAAATATGACGAAGCCGAGTAATGTGGTTAAGTTTTTCGAAATGTATTATCTTATACATTAACTAATACATCACATCATTTAAAATATATTGTTAATTGGTGTAGTTATTTAGTGACACTTTTGCTAAGAAATATTTAACATAAATAACATGTACGGGTTTTTGTTGGATTAATATTGAATTTGTCCACATGAGGGTGAATAGCTGCCATACGAGACACTAGCCGCCTCCACTATAGATATCACAATATAATGGTAAAGCTCAATGTTTCTAGTGATTAATACTTACACAGCATTAAAACCAAACTATTACACCAAGTTTAATACGAGGGATGACACTTGTTACAAACTTATACGTGCACTTCAGAACTACATTGAAGATTGCTGCCCATACTTAACACTTTATAAGTTTTTACTTTGAAATCCAGAAAATCTTGAACTGAAAATCTTGTTAGAAAGTTTTAATCTAAAGGAATAATCAAAGGCTAGTTCAGGACAATCTTGCGATTTTCCAAGAGGAAATAATGTTGGCAGCACATGGTTTTCACATCACTTTCTACAAACTGATTGAAACAATTTATTACCAGCATTTTGGTTAAGGGAGAAAGCTGAGAGAAAGTAACAAAATCTCGTATAGTCCGCACTTCATTATTCCAAGAAATATATACACTCTCAGTCACCCACTTTAATATTAAGGAAGGTATTACTTATAACAAGCTAAGTCTTTGGTATAAACCTTGGTAATAAATACCGACAAGTTGGTTTAGAAAGAAGTGATCAAGGTTCCAGGACCGAAACGTTTTCTAATAAATATGTTATAGTGTTTGCTTACGTGTCTTTCTAAACCAAGCTAAGTCTTTACATTAAGTGTTATACTCACTTAGTGATGTCAGTATGGTGATCAGCGGAGGCTTCAGGTGTTTAAATAAGGGAGGATGTGAGCGCGCGCAGCGGGAAGCTCGGAGGTCCTGGCACCATGATGACCTAAATATCTGATTGGCCAAACAAATGAATACCCCCTCCCTCTCTCCCTCTCTGATGTTCTTCCTAAAAGTTATACATTCTCTCCCAGATTGGATTTGTATTTGTTTGCCGATAATGTAAAACTTGTATACGGCATTTAAGTGTGGTAGGAGGCTCCTGGAAGACCTTGGGGAAGCCTAGGGATGGTCGAACTAATTATTACTGGAATTCAAAATTAAAATCAAACATTGGGGAGTGAAAAGGCAGATCTGAGATGATATACACTTAGACAGGAGACAATACAAATTTGTACCAGGAAAAGAACAGAACCTGAAGAGATTAATAAAGATAAAGGAAATAATTTAGCTATTTTTCTTCCTTTTTGGTGTGAGATAAAGATGCTGTATCCGTAGACATTAAATGCTCAGGGCATTTTGGTTAAATATTATTAAATGAACAAAGGCTTTAATAAAACATTTTATGTGTATTTTTGAGTTTATTAAATCAAAAGATGTATAAGTACTTCCAATGTAAAGGTAATATTTAGATTTATTTTGCAGCAGAAGTGACTGTCTGTGTTATATGAATTAGTTGTGTGAGACAGCAGTAATGCATGAATCTGCGATTCATGCATTACTGCTGCAGTTCCCCTTAGAATCTACAGTTATTGCAAATTTGCCCCTAAAGTTACGGTCCCTTTTTTTACCGAACATTTTTCACTAGTATCATTTGTCCATGTACATCATGTTAATTTATATTACGAAGGTATACATGTTATAATTTGGTATACACTCTTTACTGCCTATCGGTTTCACCAGTCATAGCTGTAATGCAACTAGAATTTAATATTTGGTGTACTGAATTCTGTAAGACTGGTATTTAGGTAAACTATCAGTGAATATATATACCAAACGGTGTATATACTAGCATTGTTTTATAAATAGCACTTAAACAATGCTCCCTGAAGACCGATGCTCCCTTAAAGTCTGTAGAAGGCGACACCGAAACTTGGTAGTGTCATATCCAATCCAAGGTCTGTTGATGCTAGGAAGACGTAACTGAGACAAGAAGCTCCAGTAGGAGAGGTTCTTCTAGCACCATCACTCCTGGACAGCGGTCAGGTGATGCTAGGAAGGATATTACCAGGATAAGGAGCGTGAGTAGGAGAGGTTCTCCCACAGAAGGATCAAGATGGCGAAGAAAGAGCCCAGAAACAGAACGTAGAAGGCGCCCTGCAAGTGTTGCATTCCTAGTACCACTTCTGTGTTGTCCTGTAGAAAAAAAATCAGTGAAAAAAGTGAGTTTTGCCTTACATTTTTGTAAGTGAAAAAAAAAACATGAAAAATTCGGTTGAATACTTATTAAAAATGGAGAAATTAGTGGTGTTTACCGTTCCAGTGTCTCCTAGAACAACTTGAGGATTTAGGGCTGCTGCTGCTCTGTTCTCCCTCACGCGAGTGGCTATCACGTCCTGAGTCCAATACTTTATAAGACCAGCATCTTCCAATCGTGACATTAGTCGCTGAAAACGCTGATAAAATGGTGCACCTTTCCTGAAATGGAATTACAGTAATCTCGAGCATATAAAATAAAAGATAGTATAGTTAGGAAAAGTTTAATATTATGCGAGATGTTCAATAGAAATAGTAACCCAAACTATTAAGAACAAGTGTAATATGGCCTGCGTACCCGGTTGTAATGGGAGCAAAGTGGAGCAACCAAAACTCAACAGCAGTATATGACTTATTTCTTTCACCAAATAGACAAGCTGGTATTTACAGAATGTACACTATTTACAATATGTACAGAAATGTAAAAAGTGTACAACACAGTGAACAAAGGACGCAAAGCAAGAGCCAGAGCATGTACCGTGTACGACCAGCAGCCCCAGACAAGTCTGCCAATTTGCGTGTCACGAGTGAACCACAATGCTTCACAAATTTGGCTGGCTTGTCTATGACTTTGCGATAAACCGAGGTACTGATATAATCACGGGTACCCTATTGATCGTTAAAACCTTAGCACCCAGTTTGCTGGTCGGGAGGCAGCCTATATGGGAGTGCGATTTACGAGGAATAAAATGTACATACTAGTAACATGCCACACTAACCTAGACTAGAAATTAAATTCAAGAGGTAATTTCAAAATTTAATACGAAATACCCGGGCATAAAGTATATATTAAACCACTAGTTAATATTAGCCGCAGGCTGATATTAACCACTTTTTAATATTAGCCGCAGGCTTATATTTACTTTACACTTTGGTTTTTTATTATGCCGATGTTTTTTTTACGTAAATTCTCAAATATTAAGTGGATTTTGTCCAACAGAAACAGTTCATTACTTTGCCGAATGAAATCACTGACCAGCGTTTAAGGAACAGCCACATCATGAGGACGTTCTTGATCTTGTGTATGCTGATCTTACACAGCATACACGAGTTTTTGGTGCATCCCAGCAGATCCTCATAAGTCTGTTACATCAACACAAAATACATGTAGCAGTTACCTGAAACCCCATCCAAAGGCAGCCATTATGGAGACACCTTTCTTGCTGATAAAGTATGGTGTGTTACCGTGGGAGTCAGTGTAGTGGGAGGCGATTGTGATGATGAGGTTATTCTCCCAAACAATTAGAGTATAGTGGCCCTCCAGTACCTTTTGCAGAGCCTCTTCCCTTGACACCTTCTAAAAGGCAAGAGAAAACAATGCGATGAATTTATATAGAAATTTTGTAAAGGGGAATATTTTACAGGGTGCTGCCTCATATCTGAAAATTCGTATCCAGAAAAAATAGAAGGTATAGAAAAATAGTTTCTATTTCTGGCTTTGTGAAACGTATGGGTAAGCCTTTATACACCTGTTACCCTTTATACCTTCGAATAAATAAGTACCTAGCTAATAGTAAACTCTTGCGAGTCACATTCAAGAGTAATAGCATACCTTAAATAGGACTTAGCTTTGAAATAAGCCGAGATAGAATAGGGAGGGTAAAAAAAATGGCATGCAAGTGGAACAGTGCTTAAAAATTAGTATACATCAGAGATACACCTTAACTTTGGGAGCTAAAATTCCTCTCGACCTATTTACCAAGAGTACAATGAAATAAAAAATCTAAAAAACTCTCAACCAATTATTTAAAACAGTATAGGCAAATGTGAATGAAAAACTTTGTTGAATAAAAGGAATCTTAGCACGAAGGAGTTCCTTTCTGGAAAGGATATTTGGTAATGAGGTGCGTCTTACAGCATCAAATATTTAGTGACTGATAATAGGTTCACTTTGGATAAACAGTTAAGGCATTTGACATAGAAATGTCTTCGAGAGGATGTGTAAAATTATATCCCCTTACTGATGCAACAGAGATATAATGTTTGTGTTATTTATTTTGGTTTCATTATATTTAACTTAATGTTTGTGATTAAATGCATGGCTTAGAATCATTTTCTTTGTGGAGTTACGAATTTGACGAGTGTCGATGCATGACTATGAAGCTTTAACAATACAGACTGAAGATGTGAAGTAACTAGTATAATATGTATTTCTACAAGTACATGGACAAGGTATACAGCCCATAGCTGACATCAGCGACATACTACTATATAGAAAGCCGATTGTTATACAGAGCATTTCGGGCAAATTAGGTGAGTTTTGTCTCAGGATGCGACCCACACCAGTTCACTAACACCCAGGTACCTATTTTACAGATGGGCGAACAGACAAAACCGGCGTCAGGAAACACGCCCAATGTTTTCACTCGGCCGGGAATCGAACCTGTGTGAAGCGAGAGCTTTCGCCACCAGGTTATGAGTGACACGAGTTACTGTCATCTGAACATATTTGTATATCATGATTTTCCTCATGTAAACATTCGTAAATAACAGGACGTGATCAAAACGAACATGTTGCTATTTGGACTTGCCTCCATATTTTTATATATGTGCTGTATAACAGGGTCAGGATGCTTGGAGAAATATTCAAAAGGTACCCCTTTAAGAAGCCAGGGTTCAGTGCCCCATTTCCAGTTGTTCTGCTTCGCCAAGTCATCGAAGGTCTCTATAGGTTTGGTTTTCCCTTGGATGGTCATGTGAGCGATCAGTGATGAACGGTACCCCGTTGTGATGACCAGACAGAACACCAGCCACCAGCCCAGCAACACCTACATACCAATGAAAAATTTATCACCCAGTGATGAACAAATACAACCCTAGTCAACAGATGCTCGTATACATTAACATTTTAAAGTATAGTGCTTAGCAAATAGAATACTAACCACAATAACAGTTGCACTCAGAGATAAACTTTATCCTCATAGTGATAATCTGAGCATTAGACACCACCATACCGACAGTTGTATTCACAAGAAAGGTTTAACCTCTGGTCACTAGCTCGTCTAAGGATATCACCCATCCTACCACACTTGCTTCTAAGCTAGAAACCATAGCAACTATTAAGTGATAAACGTAATCTCCATCGTACTCCAGCTGTCTATTGGTCTACCTAAAGTGCAAATCACTCGCTGTGAACTATTTTTTACAAAAAAAAGGCGATAAAAAGCTTACTCTTCCTGAAACGCTGACCGGGGGATCAGGAGGAGACTGCTCCATGAGGGCGCCGCAGCCGTACATAAAAATAGTGCTGAGCTTAACTCCACGCCCACCGGTCATCCACTGCCACGCCCTCTGCAGCAGCCAGAGGATCACGCCCCACACAACAACGCTTAGCAGCAGCATTAACCATAGCTCACCTGCAGAAGGGGTGTAGGTAATAGCTTTATAATATAATTTTGAGTGCACTCACAGAATCATTCAAAATCAATAGTGGAATGTTTTTATCCAATTTTTTTTAAATATATAATCTAATATTTTTTTGACACTCCTATGCAAATTAATCTTTTCAATAAATTCATCTCAATAAATTTATCTCAAGAAATGGTGTATAATTTTGGAAGACAACGACTTCTGCATATTTCCCTGTTTTTTTTTTTTTTTTTTTTTTTTTTTTTTTTTTTTTTTTTTTTTTTTTTTTTTTTTTTTTTTTTTTTTTTTACCTTTTTCAGTTATCCTCGTAATGCTTCATAATTTCTTGCCTTGAAGAAAAATATTTAAAAATCACTAATGAACTCCAGAAACATTCCCAATAAGAGATCATGAAAAATCACGCTCTTGAACTGGATTCCCCATTTCTATCACCAATACCTGTGAACGGTCTTATCAGCGATAGGTTTTCCGGTAACAGTGAAGGCTTTAGAGATGTTACAGTCATTGGGTCTGAGGGATACCCCCTGAGGTACTCCGCGACCTTCAGACGCTCCGGTGACGGACCAGCTATGGTACAGAAGTCTGTCTCTTCCCGCTGGAGTTGACCCATCATCCCGGTGAAGACGCCGTTCTCCTGCAGCCCCCACGATAACTCTGGTTCTGCTCTAATCTCGAAGCTTTTATGAGAAGAAATAATTATTAATTAAAAATAAAAAAGCTCAATTTTCAATGACATTAAAGAAAGTTATTTATGCAAGTTTTTTTAATACAAGTATTAATGTGATCACCAAGGTTTCTTTTGTTACCCGGTAAGAACAAAGCTATTCTTACGTGAAATTGAGTGCGGTTGAGAATGTGTTAATCAGTCTGGTGTCTATGGCATCCTTCTGTATCACTATACCACCCGGATCTGTGGTGTTCAGCTCAAAATCCATGTAGGGAAAGTGTGGCACAGCTACTACACGAAGCTTGTGGCCCAGCAGTGTTTGCACTTGTTCTGTTGAAATAGTGTGTGATACATGAGCAATAAAAATTGGGAATGTAAAAGTTTCACAGAAAAAGAGACTTGCAATAAAGTTATTAATTGTGAGAGTTCTGATTTAATTATGTCGAATTTACCTAATGGAAAACAATTAATTGTGAGTTTTATATTCCCCGAGATGCATTAGGCAATAACATTATTATATAACTAATTTTCGGCCAAAAACTAATTTTACCCTGGAAGAATTGATGAATGTTGTGGATGTTTGGCGTGATGACCCAATGATTGATGACCTGTACGTCCGCTTCCCCGTTGTTGCAATACATACACCGCCGGTACACCCACACACCACTGCTCATTGATGCTGCGTACACATCTATAAATATACATAAATATATTATATACACGCACAATCTCAAGGAATAAAGAAAACTCAGTGCGTATATGCTGTAATAACCTTGTCTAAAGATCTTCCTGAAGCTTGAGTATCGGCGTCGTGGGTCGTGGAGGGTGTTGTCGTGAAGGACAAGGTAGAGAGCGTGAAGGCTGTTGCGGAGACTGTGATGGAGAAGCACATCCTTCACCCATGCCCTCCCTCCCACTGCTACTACACGAGTCTCTGATAGCTTCCACAATCCTGCTGCCTCTGCCAACCTAATATTTATAGTATGTTAGTTTTGGGGAAGAGTGATTATTCAAAGAAATTGTAAATGCATTCCATTCCACAGATCAAGTCTGATTATCTCACAATCAATAGTTTCTTCATGATAACTGATTTTGCTGCTTCTATGAATGTAATTGTTACATTGTACTCCAAGAATAATTTAAAATATCTGGGTTATTGCTTTAAAAGAATTTTAGCTTCAAGATTCTTTTATGATGTTAACATCCAAACCTCATTTACGTAGGTTAATTTATATTGCATATTATTACTGGAATGTAAATATTAATTTTAGGTATTATATGAATATAGCGCAGATTTTTTTTTTCAACAAGTCAGCCGTCTCCCACCGAGGCAGAGAAAGAAAATCCCCAAAAAGAAAATACTTTCATCATCATTCAACACTTTCACCTCACTCACACATAATCAATGTTTTTGCAGAGGTGCCCAGAATACAACAGTTTAGAAGTATATTCGTATAAAAATACACAATATATCTCTCCAAACTGCCAATATCCCAATAGCGAAGATATATTTATATATTCAACTTGTTCTACTAAAAAATCGTATTATTCAAGTTGTTATTATCACATTGCTAAAAAGACATTTCGACGAAAATTTAAATATATCAAGCAACTTTTGAGAAAAACTTATATTTACAAAAAGCTTAATAAGAACTACCTAAGAGCAATGATGCTGCTGTTTGTGGTGAGGTCGACGATGAGACCCCGGCAGGTGGTTCTGGTGTCGCCCCACAGCCCCTGAAACAGATGGTTCTGGACTAGCTGGTCCTGGGAGAAGACCCATCCTGCCTCCACCACCATCCCAGCCACCACACTCTTACTAATGTGTCTGAAGAGTAAGTCACGAGATTTATTTTCCTCATTCTGATCCCTTTCATTAAAGTTGATAGAGCAAGTTTTTAAACCAAGAATGAGTCAATAGGCCCTTAACTACCGATTTAAGATTAAATAGATCTTAATGGTATATTTAGTAAAACGGTATATATACAGATATTTGGACTATATAAATTAAAATACTGACGAATTATGAAACTAATTTACCTGATTATTATCGAGGTAATGAGTGAGTCAGGTGTAGTGGTGAGGAGCACCAGGTGACAACCAGCGAGGTGGTGCTCCACCACTTGTCCCACCATTACGCCCGCATCCACACCCATCTGCTCCAGTGCTTCATCCACTTCCTGACTTGCTTCAGGCCCTAATCTCACCATCGCTGCCGCCACCACTATGATCACATGAAGTCTAAGTGACGTCATCCCGACCAATAATGTGGGATCTTTGGTATATTTCAGCGAGTTGATAATTCTCATTAATAACAGTACTTAAATACATTGTTCTCACTATTACATCCATCTAGTGATACATGAATTGAGATTATAGCTGTAATATATTTTTCTATAAGCAAAACCATAAGCCTCGTAAATATTTAGAGGCTTACGGATAAAAATTTACACCTTAATTTCCTTGCCTTAATATATTGTTTACAGTTAATTTTTAGTGTCAATATAAAACTGTATATAGACATAAAAAATTAATTTTTTTTACCTTTGATAAATTATATTAATCATCTATGTCACACAGAGTTTTATCACTTTTCAGAACAATTGATGTCTGAGGAACACTTATTACCGTTTTAAGCTTGTTTAGATATATGGAATCTGGGGAAAGCTTATTGATATGTATATTAGTTTATATCTTCTTAACGGCGACAAATTTCTTAAATCGAACAAACTTTGATCAATATTTCTAGTTTGCAATTGGGTAATTATGGAAAGAATCCGCAGTTTCTTAAGAGGCAACGACAATCTTTGCACTTATTTCTAAGCAATACGTTTCCAGTGATATGGCGAGTTAATCTCTTGAATAAGCCAGGGATGTGAATAAGAACAGCTGTGACTGAAGGGTGAGACTGTGTAACTGTAGCAGCAACTGTGCGACCGTCCGGGATAAGGTCGAGTCTCCAGCGTTCCGTACTCTCGCCAGCGACGGATCCACCTGTACACTGTGGAGAGGCTGGTTCCACTCTCTAGGGATATCTCCCGAGCTGGCATACCTCCCAGCCACAGCCTCACGATCCTCGCTCGCTCAGCTGAAGGAGTTGGATTGTTTGTTATTCGCCTATCCATGGGCTTGACTGTCAACAAATAAGAAATGTGTATGTCACTTCTTGGCGGTACAATTAATTGTTTTTTTAAGATATTCAGCTATAAACATGTGTATATGATGCATTTTTGCGTCAAGAACCAGCTTTAAAGTTAGAAAAAATAAATTGTTGGAAAACAATGCTTGGAATATACCCAGATTGTGATTAATCATAAATTAGTAAAAAAAAAAAAATGTTGCTACTAGTCAAAACATCATCGATGCAATATATTTAGAAAAATTCTATGTTCGTTTCGTTGTAAATACACCAGTAAAATATGGCAAGACCGAACACAAATTTGTTGCTTTTGAGAGAGTGTGGATAATATTCTCGAGGGATTTGAGCATCTCATCGCAAAGGGAATTAATTGTCAGGTACAATAGAATTTTTTTTTTAACATTTAAGTCTTTTCCCACAACGTCGGGATGTGACCAAAAGAATCAACGTTACTAGTGAGAAATAAAATATACGTTTAGGAAGAGAGCAGTTTAAGCAGGAAGTGGCAGATGTTAGATGAATATATTAGGATATGAAATAATAAACGTAAGTTATGATAGGAGATAAATTATATAATTTTAAGCTTTTACCATGGAATAATCACAGTGATTATTTAAAGGAATAATATTCTATGGATTTCTTTTAATTTGTATTGAATAAAATAAATAGAAAATTTCAGGGTAATTTAGAAAAAAATATCCAGATTTTAAAACTGACGCTAAAATGTTTAAATTTTTTAACGTGTGCAAAAATTAATCCTTTTTGTGGTTCATGCTCAGGACTTTTTAAAACAATATATTATCGTAACGTGTATCGAAGACAGCAAAATAAAAGCAATAATCTGGCAGTAAATTCTGTGTAATTCGTATAGCGTAATCACTTAATGTATACAATGTGTGTGATGCACTGTAGCTTGAAGGAAGTCTTTTAGTGTCTCGTAATATAAAAAAAATAGGTGTCCCTTCTTACGTCAGGTGATATACTCACTCGGTATCGTTGTTCCAAGTTAGTTGTGATCGTCAACGCCAGTCTGCGGTATTTATGAGAGAGGACGGCAGCGCGCGCAGCCGAAATCTCCGCTTTTCTGGTATCATGGTGAACCAAAGTTCTGACTGGTGTACACACACACACACACACACACACACACACACACACACACACACACACACACACACACACACACACACACGTGGAATTCATGCAGGGAGGAGATGGAGTGGGTAAGTACCAAGGTAAAACACTGAAGCATTATTCAGAATACAATTATAAGACCTTACAAAACAAACACATAAAAACGCACGCACACTCAAAATAGTGACCAGAGAAAAGGCAAAAATAAATAAAACACAGACATCTACCGCAACATTTCAGCAGTAAACAGAAAAATGTGTTAAGACATTACGGATGAGAAGGTAAATGTTTAACTTTCTGTATGGTTTAGAAAGACACGTAAGCAAACACTATGACATATTTATTAGAAAACGTTTCGGTCCTGGGACCTTGATCAAGGTCCCAGGTATTTATTAAAACGGTTTATACCAACTTTCTGTATAACACTAAGCCATTAGTAATGATAAAAAAATTATAAGTTTATCATTATCATTGAATAAATAATATTAAAAATATAATATATAAATTTTGAAATAAACAGCAGTAACAAAAATAAATCTCAGTACCATAATAACAATAATTATAACAATGGTAAACTGATGTACATTTCTAATTATTTTAGCAAATGTAAATACAATCAACATTTTATATATTACATGTGCATTATATGTACAAAATGTACTGTTCACGCTATATATACACGGAGAGGTGTAAGTGTCTCAGTGTAAATATCTGCCGAGTTTAGCTTTATTCCTGTGTTAGGAAATTCTACGATGATCGCGCAGAATTAGTGATCATCGTGTAGTCGATAGACTTTAAACCCTATTAACCAGTTGTCCCATAAAACTATATTCGCTGGGAGGTATATGTCTCCCAGTATATATGCTGAGAGTTTACTTTAGTCCCTTTAATCTGTTTTAGGGATTATAGTACACTCCCAACAGGTCGTGAACAAGTACATGTAGGATTAATGCCTTCAGTGCAGTCGATAGGCTTTAAACCCAATTAATCAACCATTCGTCCTATGCTTTATATACAGTATGATGAGAATATACATCTCTATGGTTATTCACCGACAAGAAAATAGCATACACAGTTTCAGGAATGTATATTTCATTTAGAATTTAATCCCTACTGGTGCTAAACAAACTTTTGTAGATTAGCTTTAAGCCCATTTAACCGCTCCTCATCTTTATAGCGAAATCTGAAATGTGGATGACACTATAATGTGCATTAACCTTATTATTGGTAGCAGTAGTAGTAGTGGTTGCTATTGTAGTAGTAGTAGCAGCTGATTTATTGGATTTATAATAGACGAGTCAGTATCTGCATTTCACCTGTGCAGTAGTAAGGGATACTTGTACTTAGTGGTGGATACAGTCTCTATGAGGAGTCTTCTGAAAGATTAACTATTGAGAGTGACTGGGGAAACGTATTTCGAGAATCAGTTTTAGAGATTAAAAGTATTTTGTTATTGTGCGTCTCTGTGAGTGAGCACATAAAGACCTTGACGCGACAACACTTGAGAACTGAGGGTTTAGTGATGCTGGGAGGATGCCACTTAGTGGAGAAGGCAGTGAGACAAGTTCTCTCCGAGCAGAGTGAGAAAGGCGATGCTATAACCAAGAAACATCAGGTAAAAGGCGCCTTGTACATGGTAGAGATCCAGGACTACTTCTTGGCTGTCGTCCTGCCGGTAATAATATTTGTTATCATATTTCTGCATGTTTTATTTACACACACACACACACACACACACACACACACACACACACACACACACACACACACACACACAAACAGCTTATACAGCCAAGATATTTATTGTATCACGATTTTCTCAGAAATAACATTTCGGGTCAATTAAAATCAGAATTCAGAACTATACTGTGCATACCTCCTGTTGGCTTGCCAAAACATTGAGATGTTCCATATCCCTCGTCTTTTTGACACTTTTGGCTATCACATCATTAGTCCAAAAGGTCATGATTCCGGAGTCTTTCAGACAGGCCATTAAGTGACTAAACTTCGTGAAGAACGGTGCACCCTTCCTGTGAAATAAAGAAAAATTAAATAAAAAATGAATTTCAGTATTAAAAATAAGATTAATGGCATAAGAATTAATTTTTCACTGTTGTGAAATAAATGGCTGGACGCATTTTATTAGGGTGCCGGTTCACTAATTATATTATAATCATGGGGAGCGCTAAACCCATAGGATTATACAGCGCATGGGGGGGGGGGGGAAGAAGGCATTCAGGCTCAATCCAGAGAACTGGAGCACAGATCTAATTCCCTTTATCAAGAGCCCTTACCAGCGTCAAGGAACCTCCCTCGCGAGGGCCGGTTCACTAATACTTTTTAATTTAATAAATGACGAACTATTGCACTGAAATCTGTAAACAAAATTACAAAACATTTTTATAATGTATTCAGAGTGATGTTACATTTATTTAAGTAACTGATTGACTGAACTGGTACAGAAAACGAGTGATTAACTTTTTTTAATGGTTTAGGCTAAGATTTTTGTAAATTTTATACAAGATTTTCGAATTTTAGGTATAAATTTTCATAAATGACAAGAAATCCAAACCTGAATCCCCATCCATAGTCTGGTAGAGAGTAGACTCCTCTCTGGCTGATGTAGAAAGGTGTTTGTCCCCTGGCATCAGCGTAGCGGGAGGTAACGATGACAGTGAGGTGATTCTTCATGCTGATGTAGGTATACTTGCCAGCCAGAACCTTCTTCAGTCCTTCTGTCACCTCCAGAACCTAGGTCACATATACATGTCAACTTTAGGGCTACTGTTATTATTATTAAAGATTAGCCGGTATTCTCCCGGCCCGGGCCTTTTCCAAGTGGTGGCCCGGCCTTTTAGGGCTACTGTTATATTATTCACTTTAATTATATACGTGTTACATATCTTTTATATTGGAGAAATAAAAATCATTAGTCACCTTTAGACCATTATATTCTTCCTTTTCTCTCTTAACTACTATTCTTATCGCTATTATTTTCTAATCATAATGAATGCAACGAAACTTGCACTACAAGAACCTTATTGAGACTATTTAAATAGCAGTATCTTGCTAGCCTCTACCATTGTAAACACCACCGATGTTGTAACCATTACATTGTCGTAAACACACCTTAGCTGCAATTACAGTTTCAAGCCGCACCATGCTGGTAACCACACCATGGTTGACTACTGCACAAATAATAATCTACCTGGAATCTACCTGGAGAGTATTCAGGGCTTCAACGCCCCCGCGGCCCGGTCCATGACCAGGACTAATTTTAGTTGTTTTATTAAACTGACAACATTTGTGATTTCCTTGTCAACTTAATCGAAGCTGAAATATGACGATTTGAGTGCCTTTATACTATACATTACGATAAAGTTGCATGAAATATGCTGCCTAACCTCCATTTCCTTATAGACTTTCTTCACTACTGGGTGTGTATGTTTCGACAGGTAGTCATAGGGCACTCCTTTCAATATCCAAGATTCAATGCCCCATTTCCAGCCGTGTAAAGCAACCATATCTTCAAAGGTGTCTATGGGTAAAGACCTTCCTTGGACAGTGAGATGGGCAACCAGGGATGAACGGTACCCCGTCGTGATCACCAAGCAGAACACTAGCCATCCTCCCACCAGCAGCTGAATAGAGTGATTTTAATAAAATCACAGAACGGAGAATATTTAATGCAAAATATAGATGCCATTAGCACGTTATATTGCCACTAACAAAACATAAAAATATGAACAATAATCTCGTATAAGAATCACACAGACAAAAACTATTTACTTAGTTGTAGGCAGAAGCGTTTATGAAAAAAAAATTTTTGAATATTAAGGAAAAGAGGAGTAATGCATTTAATTGATTAACGTATTTCAGTTATTTAATTTATTGCTTCACTCTCGCTCACTGCACGTAATTTCAGAAACTATCAAACATTAAGAAAAAGAGTAACTAATATATAAAGCTTACTCTTCCAGAATCGCCGAAGGAGACTCTGGAAGGCGGCTGCTCCATCAGGAGGCCCCAGCCATACATGAACGCGTCGTTCAACTGGAAAACTTGCTTTCCTACCACCCATCCCCAGGTCCTCTGCAGCAGCCACAAAATCACGGTCCATATTGCCACGATAACCACCACGGCGCACCACAGCTCTCCTGTAGGAGGAAGAACAAATATTAATACTGATTGTAGGTAAGTTAACACTTCCATATATTGTTTTCCTGTGGAAACCAACACTAGATAAGACCTTTACGAAGCTCTGGAAGTTTTTAGGGGGGCCATTCAGCACAACTGATCCTCCATTTGTTAAGCGTGAAACAGCCACGTAACATTACTACAAAAAAATTGTAACCAAAGCCTGTTGAATGCCTAAACAATTTTAATGTGAAAATTAAACTATTGAAATGACGTGATAACTAGAGCTCCATCAGTGCCATATTTGTATTGTTTGGTTAAAACCTGTAAACTCAACAGGCCGGTAATCAGGTTTATTTTATAGAAATTATCCAGACAGCTAAATCCAATTATAACTGGAAGATTTAGTACTCTTCAAACTTCAAGAACAATATGAACTGATTAACAAGCTGCAATGTACACATGTTTGCACTTGTGGCTGTGTTTTGTGCACTTGCTAACGTTGTAACTTAATTACTGTGTCAGACGCTGACACTTACCGGCAAATGGTCTTATCAGTGAAAGGTGTTCAGGCAGCAGCGTAGGTTTGAGGGATACTAAAGTAAGAATATCAGAGTCATAAGCACTTGCATGCTTCATAACTCTCAAGCGCTCTGCCGTCATCGAAGCCATCGTGCTGAAATCAGCTTCCTCACGTTGCAGCTTTCCCATGATCCCGTTGAACTTGCCTTGTTCCTCACGACCCCACGAGCGATCTTTCTCCTCTCGTATCTCATAACTAGAAAACAAACATGTTTATCAGTATTTCCAGCTCACCGATCTTGAGTTTTTTTCAGATAGTATACACGTTCCTTTTTATTTTTTTATACCTGGTTATTGGGCATAAATATTTAAATTTCAGGAAGTTTGTCTCTTTTCGGTTTGTTCATTTTAAATACGGATTCACGTGTGTGGTACAGATCATTGTTATTTCCTAAAATACGAGACACACAAAGATGCATCTGTCAGTGGATATACACGGGAAGCTCATTTTAATTTCTCATTCAGGTATTAATATATTCCTGACTAGTAATGAACAGGCAGCGTTTGTGACGCTTCCAAAATCAGATTTATAACCCAATTAACCAAACATCAATAGGGATTATACCTTCTACACTAGAAAATGCTGTCCTCGCAGTGTATATACACTGCAGGTCTCACTTGCATTAACATATATAAAAATGCAAAGAAATATTCGTGAGTGATTATGAATTGAGATCATTTTAACGACAGAAATGGGTTATTAAAGATTGAAAGGTAAATGCACAGTCCCATATACAATATATTTTTAATATATCATAGTAAATTCTCAACCAACGAATCAACTAAGAAATACTTTAAAGCATTTTAAAAGGCTTTTGTGTTTTATTGATTAGTATATTTCTACATAGCTTTATATGTGTGTATGTGTGTGTGTGTGTGTATGTGTTTTGGCTAATATCCAGATGAGGAACTTGTGGAATTTATAATGCAAATTCTATAATATTTCTGCTGGGTAATGAAGTCAGCTGGATGTTTCACGTTGTTTCATTTTTGAGTATTGGTTACCAAAAAGTTTTTTCCCTTATTAGCCTAAAACACATCTCCCTCCAAACTAATCCATCTCTTAGCTCAAAACACAAGAGCCTTATCTTGGCATACAAGAGGAAGAGATTATAGATCTTACGTGTAAAACTAGGCGAATACAAATAGAAAGCGAGTCTGTCTGTCTCAAGAGACGGAGGTTCAAGCCTCCACCACGTCTTGCGCTGAGTGACCCACATGGGTTTAACACTAAACATGATTATATATAGTATAAGCTCTTACGTGAAGTTCATGGAGGCTGAGAAAGTGTCCAAGAGACGGGCGTCAAGCGAGTCAGAGAGTGTGACAGTGGTTCCTGGTAAATTTGTGTTCCTCTCGTAGTTTATATAAGGAAAGTACTGCACCGACACTATCCGAAACTGGTGACCCATGAAATTCTTAAACTGATCTGTTTGGCAGAGGAAAACAAACATACTTTTGCATAACTCTGTAAAGATTACATTTTTTCTTTTCTATTTGTAATTCATATCTGTTTTATGCAAATCTAGTCAAATGTATCTCATCACCTTGGTTTGATAGATATTTTATGAATAACAAAAACAATATTAATGATAATGCAAATGATTTAATATTTATTAAAGATGTGGATCAGTAAGCTCTGTCAAATGATCCAAAATTTTAGTGGAAGGTTATCACATGACTAGCCTAGCCTAAATTAAGCGAATTATGCATTGGGGAAATTATACATTGTGCAGACGAGACAAAAGTTCACTTTTTTAGTAACCAAATTTAACCCAGCCTAAACTAACCTAGGTCTAAGTTAAATTAGGCTGTGTTACGTTACGTTTTTTTTTTTTTTTTGTTTTCCATTGTACAACTCACTTAATAATGGAACATATACACAAACTATCGCTATGCTCAAAAATACGGAACACTTACCAGGAAAAAGGCTGTCAGCCTCCTGAACTGAAGTGAAATTCCCTTTTCTAATAAGCTTCACGTCCGCCTTCCCATTGTTACAGTAGAGACAACGACGGTAAACCCACACACTGCTTTCCACGGCTGCTGTGGGGTAAGCAAAACATTTTTCACTAGTTTTTATATTATTTATAATAATCATGGGGGAGCGCTAAATCCGTAGCATTATGCAGCGCATGTGGGGGAGGGAAGGTGTTCAGGCTTAATTGAGGGATCTGGAGCATAGATCAAATTCCCTAGATCAAGAGCCCCTCACCAGCGTCAAGGAACCTCCCTTGAGGGGATTATTTTTTTATATAGATACACAGAACAATCTCGCTTACATACATCCATGTCTGTGGTGTGTGTGTGTGTGTTGTGTGTGTGTGTGTGTGTGTGTGTGTGTGTGTGTGTGTGTGTGTGTGTGTGTGTGTGTTTGTTACAATTGTGGTTGCAGGCCATTATTATTACTGTTATTAATATATTATTACTATTACTAATATTTATTAATATTATTATTACTATTGTTGTTGTAAACATTGACTTCAGGGGACAGAGTTTTTAGTCTGTGTATTCTGCAAAATTAAGTTGGTTAGGCAATGGAGACTATTACACGTCGGGTCTATGGGGAAAAACTTTTTGGGAATGCAACCTAACCCAGCCTAACCTAGAATTAATTTCTGAATTCAACAAGCCAGAGAAATCTATGACTTCGAGGTTACTGTCACTTTTACAATGAGTGGAATTTTTAATATCAAAATATAACAGCAAATCAATTAAATACTACAAAAAAAAATTAATGTAAAACCTTTGGAAATATCCTAAAATTATAAGATAAATATCTTAGTCCCCAATTAGGGAAAAATCCAGCATGGTTACATTTCCAAATGTTACACTCACACTGCTGGCCTAGAACTATCTTCCTGAGTGAGTTACGGTTTCTTGTTACGGTGGTGCTGTGGAGAGCTAGATAGAGGGCGTTGATACTGTTACGGAAAGTGTGGTGGAGCAGCACAGCCTTCACACCAGACTTCCATCCAACCACCACAACCAAAGTCTCTGGCGATTTCCACAGCTCTGATGATTCTAAAAGCCTGAGAAAGTGTTTGTGTGTGTTCTGTTACAATGAATTCTTAATAAAAATAATTACTATTGTTAGTGATTGTATTAATACCAGGTGCACTATAATCAACAATAAAACATAACTCTTCTGAAACAATACTTATACTGAAAAAGTACATTACAGTACATGTTTGCTTTAGAACAAAACTCTTATATGGTTATTACTGAAGGGCAGAGGTGGCGTTGCTTTTGGCTGTGATATCAAAGATGAGTCCCCGGCAGGTGGTTCTGGAGTCTCCCCACAGCCCCTGGAGGTGGTGGTCCAGGGAGAACACCCACTCTGCCTCCACCACCACTCCAGCCACCATGCCCTCACTCAGGTGTCTTTAAGACGAGAAAATTGGCATTTGACACAATTCCATGAATTGTCGGATCTTGCAACCACAAATAGTTCAGTAAACACACACACAAGATTTACCTTATTATATTATAAAATACGTGTGAGTGCTGTGTAGTTGTAAGGACAACAAGGTGGCAGTCAGCCAGGTGGTGCCTCACCATCTGGCTCACCATCACGCCCACTTCCGCCTCGGCGCCCACCACACCCACTTCCGTCTCGTCTCCTGCCACGCCCACCTCCGTCTGGTCATTTAAGACTTGACAGCTGATAGGCAGAACACAACTCAGAAGTATTGCCAGATCCATCATTCGGAACTGCAGCGTTACCATGCTACCTGAAAGTTCTGTAAGTAATTGTAATTTCAGATAATTGAGACATTTTCTTGATCATTAGTTTACTCTGTGTTTTAAGAACCCGTCAGTTGCTTTAAGACACTACTTGTATGGCACTTTTTCTTGAGATTTCCAAACGAGAAATTGCTTTAGAAAGACACGTGAGCAAACGTTTCGGTCTTGGGACCGAAACGAGATAATTTGGTAACTAGTGCTCTTTCACGATAATTAATATTTTTAGATTAAATGTTTCAGCCAATTTTAAACGAGTGTTCAATTTCAGTCATATTTATATATATCGTCCAATAAATTTATAGTGTTCACATCGATGAAACAGAAAATGAAAAGTGTAGGAATCTGACTTCTTTTGTTGCACTGAATGATCCTTATGAGTTTAGTGCTTCCCACGAGTTTCACACACTATTTTGAGAAAAACCTGACATGTCTCTGTAGATTCTCTTCTCTGTAGAAATTAGCTTAAGTAAAACTTGCAAAGCTTACAGGCATTCATTCTTTACATGTATTAAACATGTATTTTAATAATGTAATACAGAAAGTGTTTCAAAGAGATGGACTCAGTTTCAAAGCAGTATATATTGAAACTGGGTCTATATCTCTGAAACATTCTGTATATAGCAAGAGGCGCATATCTCCTGTATATTCAACAGGAGTTTAATTCCCGTCAAACAACAGGTTACGTGATTAATCATCTTCGAATAGTCGATAGTTTTTCAACCTAATTAAACAAATTCTCGAGAAGTGTTTAACTCTTAGTTTTAAATAAATACCCTAAAAGTTTTCTCGATGCCAGTGTCCAGGTAGATGCGACTTTCATGTAGCCGATAGGTTTCAATCCTAACCAAGGTATATGTAGTTTATACTGACAGCAAATACCACTCATTTAGAATTTCTAAATTACCCTCCAATACTTTTATACAAGCTATAATTTGGTACAAGTCTTAAGCTATCCCGAAATAAAACTGAAAAAAAATATTATACATTTTCTAGCTTTTTTTGTTAATATATACAACTCTGATTCTTGTGCTAGGTGTTTATTTACTGAATTACTGTACTCTTATTTACAAAAGCGTAAAATTATACAAGTCACAGCACATTTTGACAAAAGGGTAAATCTCCGTGTTTTAGGCCGAAAATGGGTTATGTTAGCAAACTTAAGAAGACTTGTTAGTAGTCAGAGTAGGACCGAAATATCGTCATAAGCTTCAGTTTTCTAGGTGCGGGTTATTTGTGTTTTGTCCTGATCATAGTTCTGTGTATTTGATATGAATCTCGACTTCAGTCTAGTTAGGATAGTGACGTGCTTTTATATTTATGAAGTGGAAGACAACTGAACTATTCCCTTGTGACATGCTATACATTTTATTGCTAAAAGTAAATTTTTTAATGTGCTATAACAGTGATACACAAAATAAGCGAATTTCTTTATAATTATTTTATTATTAATAGTAACACTAATTGCTGTAGTCGGGTATTTTCTTATTATCTTTATTAGTAGTACTTTAAGTTATAATATTTGGTGTATTATTCGTCAGTATTAAGACTGAATCTGTATGTCATCCGACCCGTTAACATGTTAATATCATCATGCTGTTTAATTACTGTTTATAGGATTAATTCTAAAGCAAGTAACCTCAGTTAATACTTTTTATAAACATGAATTATGGTTCAGCCTTTGATCCCAGTTATATCGGAAAATATTGTCGCAAGAAAAAGGAACTGGTCTGGGAATCATTCTTTCTGGAAAGTAATAATCTAACGATGGAATGGTACAGTTTATATGTAGAGATCCAGGAACATCCAGAGACGCTGTTGGAACTTCATGGGACGATAGTGGTGCACCTAGGGAAGTTATAGGTATACCAAGGGAAGATGTAGGGACACCTAAGGACGCTGATGGAATGTTCAGAGATGCTGTATCGATACCAGTGCTTGCAATAAGTTGCAAGTGTTTGGCTGACATAATTGTAGGTAGTGCCTGCCACTGGGCCATGATAGACCTCCCGTTGTAAGGCTTGGTCTCCACTGTTCCTTCCTCCTGCCACCGACGGATCCACCTGTACACAGTAGAGAGGCTGGCGCCAGTCATATGCGATATATCCCTAGCGGGCGTCCCACTCATCCACAACCATACGATCCTGGCTCGGTCAGCGGTCGCATCCCTGCTTTTTTGAATTCGTCGCTCCATTCGTTAGGTTCTGTCAAGCAAGAGCAACATATGTATGGACTATATCCTTATTCTGTTAGCTTAACTCATTCTCCATTGTTTTCTCCATTACAATCAAAGATGGGTTTATAAAACCCCATTACTGAATAAGTTATTTTATTCAGCATTTACATGATTCAATGTATACTTTATGATGTATAGAGAGGAAGTGTATATTTAAGATCATTTAAAATTACAGCTTAAATACCTAGACACTTGTTCTTTGACAGTATTAACATTGGTCTTTTCACTGTGCATATATTACACTTCATTTCTCAATCGTTAGTAACACCAACATCTTCCATTGTTGTTCCTCATTCATTTACACATCTTTACAGTGATATTTCTATTTTAGCATCTCTTGCTTTATCCCCTGTCTTATCCATGTTATGTTAAACATTGTTCTGCGTGTTCACCTTCGATCATGTTTTCTTCGTCTTATCCCCTTTATGTTAAAAATTCTGTCCATTTTCACCTTTTCTATGTCATGGTCATATCTCCTTTGATTCATCGCTGTTATTGTGAACACAGACACACTGACATGGTAACAAAGCTGGACTCAGCTTAAGGGTTAAGACATGGTAATGTATATATATACATAATTTGTATTAGACAGGAGCAATTATCTCGACACTACCTCGCGTGACCTATACATCACCTAATGTTTGTCGCCGGATGGCGGAAGTCTTCGACGTGAGGGCAACACTGATGTTATTAGAGAAATAAATGTTTATGGCTGACAGTAGTGTAATAAACGTGACTGCAATCAACGTATTACGTATTTAGACTTTTATTGACATTGATTCACAGTAACAATAGCCTTAATTGTGGGGGTACTGCGAGAAGTTAATGACTCATTCGAGCACAATCATCTGCGCAGTATATTTTGCGTATTTGCAATTACTAACAGTCATACATAAATTCATATATTTTATCGGTTGTAATATAAATATATTAAAAATGCGCACTGATGCTATCGCTTTTCAAAAATATTTTTTTTATATCAGTTCTCTCCACTAAAACAAATTTGCTCATTATTTTATTGAGAACAGAGGAAATTTAATCACTAAATTAGTTAGATATGGTGGGTGTGTCTAGGGATTAATAAGGCGAAGGATCGAACCTCCACACAGTTACAATCAATGATTCGCACAGATTCAGCGTTCTACGAAGACTACTTATTGGACGTGGAGTTAGCACTCAACCCTCACATCACAGACACTATCATAGGTTTTAGCTGAGTCCACCAGACTGTGGATGGTGGAGATATTTTATATATATATTATATATATATATATATATATTATATATATATATTATATATATATTATATATATATATATTATATATATAATATATATATATATATATATATATATATATATATATATATATATATATATATATATATAAATATATATAATTATATATATATATATTATATATATATATATATATATATATATATATATATATATATATATATATATATATATATATATATTATATATATATATATATATATATATATATATATATATATATATATTAAATATATATAAATATATAATATATATATATATATATATATATATATATATATATATATATATATATATATATATATAATATAATATATATATATATATATATATATATATATATATATATATACACACACATCTGGCTCATTCTTTCATAACTTCAAGCACAGAATCATATACTTTATAGGAGTTAATCCCGTGTTTTTTATGTTAATATTGAGTTTAGTTACTGCTGTTTTTGTTTACGTAAATTCTAATATTACGCGGGTGGAACGACAGAAGTAATTATATTTTGCCATCAGAAAAATATGTTTTTGGTAATCAAAAATAACTTAACCTGGAACTACTCATGGTCTAAATTAGGTTTGTTTAGTTGGTCAAGTTTAAAAAAAAATATTTCATAGGCCCCAAATTTAATTATATGCGAAAAGACTAAAAATTTGAGAATTTATATATTATTGCTACAGTAAAAAACTGGTAGCCTGGTTTAATATTTATTATTACAATATTCTGCAAAAATAATTTGTGATACAGTTTAAATTGAATATTTTACGCTGTGAAATAATATTTATTGCAGTTTATGTTAACAAAATACACTTTTAATGATTACACAACTCAAAACAGCTGCCTGGAAATCAAAATTCTTGAAACTGATATAAATAATCTGAATATGCTCCATATATGCATTCTTCCGTCGTGTATGTCCTTATTCTTCAACATACTCATGACAAATAAAAATAGTGTTTGCAGACCAGTAATGTAAAGCCAGTGTGATGGCAAGTTACCTTAGAAACGGTGTGTGGGTTCCCAGGTGCTACGCTTTGAGGGAGGAAGCCAGTGTGTGTTCCCCAGATATGAGGCTACACGGTTTATATATACCAGACCAGCCATCACTCCCTACTGTCAAGCACGCGCACTAATATACATTGAGACGTGTAGGGAGGGACACAGTGCAGTCTTTGACTTTATTTGTGGTGGGTTCTTAGCAATGTTAAACCAGTGGTTGATTGCCACTGAGTTAGTCATCATGTAATTATGGTGTCTCGCACAGTGTGTGTGTTAGTTACCATTTTGACCTAGGCACATGTCGATTAGACACTAGGCCTATTGTATAGTGTGTGTGTGTACTCACCTAGTTGTACTCACCTAGTTGAGGTTGCGGGGGTCGAGTCCGAGCTCCTGGCCCCGCCTCTTCACTGATCGCTACTAGGTCACTCTCCCTGAGCCGTGAGCTTTATCATACCTCCGCTTAAAGCTATGTATGGATCCTGCCTCCACTACATCGCTTCCCAAACTATTCCACTTACTGACTACTCTGTGGCTGAAGAAATACTTCCTAACATCCCTGTGATTCATCTGTGTCTTCAGCTTCCAACTGTGTCCCCTTGTTACTGTGTCCAATCTCTGGAACATTCTGTCTTTGTCCACCTTGTCAATTCCTCTCAGTATTTTGTATGTCGTTATCATGTCCCCCTATCTCTCCTGTCCTCCAGTGTCGTCAGGTTGATTTCCCTTAACCTCTCCTCGTAGGACATACCTCTTAGCTCTGGGACTAGTCTTGTTGCAAACCTTTGCACTTTCTCTAGTTTCTTTACGTGCTTGGCTAGGTGTGGGTTCCAAACTGGTGCCGCATACTCCAATATGGGCCTAACGTATACGGTGTACAGGGTCCTGAACGATTCCTTATTAAGATGTCGGAATGCTGTTCTGAGGTTTGCTAGGCGCCCATATGCTGCAGCAGTTATTTGGTTGATGTGCGCTTCAGGAGATGTGCCTGGTGTTATACTCACCCCCAAGATCTTTTTCCTTGAGTGAGGTTTGTAGTCTCTGACCCCCTAGACTGTACTCCGTCTGCGGCCTTCTTTGCCCTTCCCCAATCTTCATGACTTTGCACTTGGTGGGATTGAACTCCAGGAGCCAATTGCTGGACCAGGTCTGCAGCCTGTCCAGATCCCTTTGTAGTTCTGCCTGGTCTTCGATCGAGTGTATTCTTCTCATCAACTTCACGTCATCTGCAAACAGGGACACCTCAGAGTCTATTCCTTCCGTCATGTCGTTCACAAATACCAGAAACAGCACTGGTCCTAGGACTGACCCCTGCGGGACCCCGCTGGTCACAGGTTCCCACTCTGACACCTCGCCACGTACCATGACTCGCTGCTGTCTTCCTGACAAGTATTCCCTGATCCATTGTAGTGCCTTCCCTGTTATCCCTGCTTGGTCCTCCAGTTTTTGCACCAATCTCTTGTGTGGAACTGTGTCAAACGCCTTCTTGCAGTGTGTGTGTGTGTGTGTGTGTGTGTGTTGTGATGCAGTTCAGATGTGTGTATGTGTGTATGTATCTGTGTGTGAATGTGTGTGTAGGTATTCGTTTAGGCATATATATATATTATATATATATATATATATATATATATATATATATATATTATATATATATATATATATATATATATATATATATATATATATATATTATATATATATATATATATATATATATATATATATATATTATATATATATATATATATCATAGTTCCTTGATAATGTGAGTAGTCACGAAAGCGCTTGGAATTTCTCTATTCTTTCAGAGTGGTTGTTTTGCATATTTTGAAATCACCTGTTTAATGTGATCTTATTGCATATATATATATATATATATATATATATATATATATATATATATATATATATATATATATATATATATATATATATATATATATATATATACATAATAGCTTATGGCATCATGACTGACCTGCCAGGAAGTTCTCAGAAAGCAGTTAAGCCAACAAGCTGTAAACCCCATGATATTCAAGAGAAATCACATTCCTGCATATTGACAACAATACTGTTAGATTACACATTTCCCCCTGATAATAGTGTAGCTGATCTTTTAGGATTGCAATGGCCAGGCGTAGTAGAGAACATATTTATATGCAGGTATCATTCCTGTCTCGCTTACAGCTACATGAAGAGACTTCATATTCCATAGTCATAAATTCTGAGTTTTATATATGTTGCTTAACATGTACACGAATTTCACTGTAACTCGGAGCATTTCAGAGCAAAAAAATCAAATGTCATATATGAAAGTTGCTGTACCGATAATTCATAAAATTTATTTAATTTCGAATATTTTATTTACAGACTTTTTAAAGGTAAAGGAATATTAACGCACCAGGTATATCAATTTCCTTCCTCTCAACGCGTAGCTGCGAAAAACAAAGATATTGATTTTTAATCATTCTCCTAAGTCACTCGAGGCTTAGTGGCTAAACTGTGTTACATTTACCTAAGTGGACGAGATTTTTGGTGAACAATGTTTTCTTTTTCATTCTCCCTCTTGTACAGATGACAGGAACACGCAGCAACATAACCAGTGTCAGTAGCAGCAGGTACCGGAGCATCAGTGATCTTGTTGGAACACACAGCAACATAACCAGTGTCAGTAGCAGCAGGTACCGGAGCATCAGTGATCTTGTTGGAACACACAGCAACATAACCAGTGTCAGTAGCAGCAGGTACCGGAGCATCAGTGATCTTGTTGGAACACACAGCAACATAACCATTGTCAGTAGCAGCAGGTACCGGAGCATCAGTGATCTTGTTGGAACACACGGTAACATAACCAGTGTCAGTAGCAGCAGATATCGGAACAGCGGTGGTCTTGTAGGAACACACAGCAACATAACCAGTGTCAGTAACAGCAGGTACCGGAGAATCAGTGATCTTGTAGGAACACACAGCAACATAACCATGTCAGTAACAGCAGGTACCGGAGAATCAGTGATCTTGTAGGAACACACAGCAACATAACCAGTGTCAGTAACAGCAGATAACGGAACAACGGTGGTCTTGTAGGAACACACATCAACATAATCAGTGTCAGTAACAGCAGATACCGGAACAGCGGTGGTCCGAGATTTATCTATGATGCTTCCTGTGTCTGGGTCAGGAGATGTATATCCTTATATGGCTTGCAAATATTAGCTTCGGTTTCAGTGCCTTGTGAATGAAATTGTTAATATCTACAATATTAATGATTGTTTTAATAGAACTAGTAGCCAAGGATCGTCCATGTCCCAACAGTCCTGGTCAGAGGTTTGGTCATACCCAAGAAAATGTTACTAAGGCGAAATGAAGAACTGGCCAAGCATTTCCCCTAAAACGTTGACTAGGGCAACTGCTGTGCCCAACAGCAGTAAGTAGAATGCGCTCTGTAGATGTCGTAGTCCAAGTACAACCTCCCTCTTCTCTCCCTGTAAAAGAGTTATTCTATCTTCATTATTCAATATAATACGACGTATACACCTTCAAAAATATTATGGAAGAAGACATGGAAACGTGGATATTAAATATATGTAATAATGACAATGTGGAACTGCTCCAGTTGACTGAACGTTAAGAGACTCGACCAAGAGCTGGAGCTCAACCCTTCAGAAGCACAACTATGAGAGATCAGCTGAGTACAGCACCATACGAACAAGTGCAGAAACACTTACACAACGTGATAAAAATAAATGAACTATTAAGTTAGGTAAAGTTCGTCGGGAAACAGGACAAGTATTTCCTGACGCGGGTCTTAGTCAGATGATGACTGCCGTTGGAGCTTTAGGTCATCTGACCGAGGCCTTCCACTGGCTTACCGGTCCACCCCTTTAAAAATTATGGTCATGATTATAACCATTTAAATGCGGTATTGAAAAATTAAAGCTCCACCGAAGAAAAATGAAATCAATGTAATTTTTGCTATATGTTGCTATATACTCTGGAGAGTCACCTGCGATATATCTTGCACAGCATTAGGATTCAGAGCTGCCGCTTCCCTGTTCTCCTTCACTCGTCTGGCTATCACCTCCTTCGTCCAGTATTCTATTAATCCAGCATCTGCCAGTCTGGATATCAGCTGACGAAAACGAACTAGAAAAGGCGCACCTCTCCTGCAAGAGATTTCTCAGTTCATCTTGCTAAACACTTATTCCAGTTTTTAAAACTATGAAGATTGGTAGTTTCTATATTACTGAAGTTCAATTAGATTACAGTTTATCAAAGCATCGTACGAGAAGTTAAACGTTTGTATTGCATATAAAACTTTGCAGAAGTATCAGTCATTGGATTATTTTGGCTACAGTTTTTCATGAACCAACCTGTGACTGAACAGAAAATAAGAAAAATACGCACAAAATAGTGAGGTAATCTAGCCAGATGTCCAACGAGTAACACATAAATGTGGAAATATATCTATCTATATCTATATGTATATATCTTCTCAGAAGTAATATACTACTTTCCTGATTGCCCAGCCAAAGGCGGCTATTACGGATATCCCTTTATTACTGATGTAGAAGGGTGTGTTGCCGTTGGTGTCGGTGTACCAGGAAGCTACAACCACCTGAATGTAGTTCCTGTGGTCGATGAGCGAGTAGCCTCCAGTCTTCACCTTCTTCAGCGCCTCCTTCGCCTCCAGCATCTGACTCATACCAACACTGTGGTAACTTCCACACAACTAACACACAGTTTTGGGGGAAAAAAAGTGACATCATTTGGGCCTATTTTCGACTATCTCTAGCGACCTGATAATGGTCCAGGAGGGACCGAAACGTTGTCTGAACTATTCTATTTAAATTGTTGGTTAGTTATGAATTGTACCAGCTGCGGTATTGTGACTTTTATTTTCCTTTTCTTAAGCTCTTTTTAGCAAAAAATATAGGATATATCAATTCTATAAGCCACTATACTTTATATAAAAAGATAGATTATCAAAGAGTCTATTGACAGAATTACTCCTTGAAAAATCCTAAACTCATTAAAATATTAACTGACAACTAATTGTTATTGATTACCAGCATATGAATTAATGAGTAAATTATATATGTAATTATATAACGGTAAATTATTACAATTTAAGAGCATTTTAAATTTTCATTAAATTATGAATAGTAACAGCAAATAATAATAATAATAATAATAATAATAATAATAATAATAATAATAATAATAATAATAATAGATAAAAAATACTTTTTAGTCATACCTCCATTCCATTATATATTTGTTTCACCACAGGAGACGGATGCTTAGAAAAATACTCAAGAGTTGCCCCTTTATAAAGCCAGGGGTCGACGCCCCATTTCCAATTATGCTGTTGAAGCAAATCCTCAAACGTATCCATGGGACGCGTCGTCCCTTGGACTGTCAGATGGGCGATCAGCGAGGAGCTGTACACCGTTGTAATGATCAAGCAAAATACCAGCCACGTACCAACCAGCAACTGTGAACGTTTAACATATTTTATCTCAACATTCTTCCAAATGCCTTTACTTACAGGTACGACAAAGGTAAACAGTCAGCATTCCGCTAAAATAAATGAATATGCATTATAAATCATAACATGATGAAGCCATTATCTTGACATTTTTAAACAGTGTAACTTAAGAGAATAGTTCTCAGATATCCAGAAAAAAATTACCAACTATATTTATAGACGATACAATACCAAGATGATACAATAGGGAAATATCCAGGAAAGTTTTCTGGTTGTCCAGGAATTTCCTCACCAAACCCTAAGCTGTTTGTCAATCTTTCTCTCATAACATACCCTTCCAGACTTACTGACGGAGGGGTTAGAAGGTGTCTGCGCCAGGAGAGAACCCCAACTGTACAGAAGAGTGTCGCTCAGTGTAAACCCGCGTCCTCCTTCTTGCCTGGGCCACGCCCTCTGCAGAAGCCACAGCGCCACGCCCCAAGCCAACACGCTCACCAGCAGTGCAAGCCACAGCTCTCCTGTGTTAATTATTAAGGCTATTTTGGAATCATTTTTATCAACATGCAAAGAAATAGTTGCCTAACAAAAAAATGCATCTGATATAATCTTTTTAAACACAGAAATCCAATTTGTTATTGTTATTGTATTCAAAGACAGAAGTACAATTAATTTCGTCAAAAAGTTGAACAGTCTTAGAGGTTACAGAACTCAATTGACGACAGAAGTGACCTCGTCGACGACATAAGGCATCTCATCAATAGCAGAAATGACCTCATAGATTACAGAAGTGTTTTCGACTATAACATAAATGACCTTATCGGCTACAGGAATGACCTCATCGGCAGAAGTGACCTCGCCAACGCCTTAATGACAAGTCGTATCACCTGTAAGGGGTCTGAGAAGTGCCAGGCTGGGAGGTAGAGTAGCTGGCTTGAGTGAGGTGAGAGTGAGTGGATCAGAGGGATACCCCGACATATAGTCGACCACTCTAAGACGCGCTGGTGTGGGCGCCACTATGGTGCTAAGGTCCCTCTCCTCACGTTGAAGCTCACCAATCATCCCGCTGAAGTTACCGACAATGTTCTCTCCAAATGAACGAGTAGGTTCCGCGTAAACGTTATACCTAAAAAAAAATATATTTTACGAAGACAAATACACGAGACAAACATTTGGGAGACAGGAGAGGATACTACCGAGGCTTCGAGTTCTGAAAATGCTTCCAGATATAGAGTTGAAACTCCTGTATATATTAAAAAACAAAATATAATAAACATGATTAATTTAAATGAGTATTTTATTTTGCAATCAAAACGAGAGATAATTTTGAATTAATCAATCGCCAATATAATACATTTAAAGAGAAAGAAATCCTACGTGAAATTAAGAAGAGCGGCAAAGGTGTTAATTATCCTGACGTCTAGGGAGTCCTTGGTCTTGACCGGATCATTAAGATTATCGCTGGCGGACTGGAAGTCTATGTAGGGAAAATAAGGCACCGTCACGATGCTCAGACTGTGGCCCATCATGTCCTGGAGCTGCTCTGTGAAATGTGTAAGAGTATTGTTATCTGTTTTATAGACGAAATATACATGTAACAGCATGTTACTTGTATACTCACCTAAATGTGGTTGCAGGGGTCAAGACTCAGCTCCTGGCCCCGCCTCTTCACTGAACGCTACTAGGTCCTCTCTCTCCCTGCTCCATGAGCTTTATCATACCTCGTCTTAAAACTATGCATGGTTCCCGCCTCCACTACGTCACTTTCTAGGTTATTCCACTGCCTGACAACTCTATGACTGAAGAAATACTTCCTAACATCCCTTTGACTCATCTGAGTGTGTGTATGTGTGTGTGTGTGTGTGTGTGTGTGTGTGTGTGTGTGTGTGTGTGTGTGTGTGTGTGTGGTTGTGTGTGTGTGTGTGTGTGTGTGTGTGTGTGTGTGGTTTGTGTGTGTGTGTGTGTGTGTGTGTGTCTGTGTGTGTACTTGTGTCTGTGTATCTGTGTCTGTGTGTCTGAGTCTTTGCGGTTGAGTTATTCGCAGATTTCTTCACATTTAAGATAATGTTAGATCAAAGACAGACAAAAACAGAAGATGAAGATTAGGTTACATATCACTGCTGAAGCGTCTAGATTACTGTACACCCAATATCCATCCAATGAACGAGAACACGAAATCAGGTGGGGATATAGTTTTGGAGTGGTTGGTGCAATTATTTAATAAATGTATGGAAGAGGGTAAGGTACCTAGGGATTGGCAGAGAGCATGCATAGTTCCTTTGTATAAAGGCAAAGGGGACAAAAGAGAGTGCACAAATTATAGGGGGATAAGTCTGTTGAGTATACCTGGTAAAGTGTATGGTAGAGTTATTATTGAAAGAATTAAGAGTAAGACGGAAAATAGGATAGCAGATGAACGAGGAGGCTTTAGGAAAGGTAGGGGGTGTGTGAACCAGGTGTTTACAGTGGAACATGTAAGTGAACAGTATTTAGATAAGGCTAAAGAGGTCTTTGTGGCATTTATGGATTTGGAAAAGGCGTATGACAGGGTGGATAGGGGGGCAATGTGGCAGATGTTGCAGGTGTATGGTGTATGAGGTAGGGTACTGAAAGCAGTGAAGAGTTTTTACGAGGATAGTGAGGTTCAGGTTAGAGTATGTAGGAAAGAGGGAAATTATTTCCCAGTAAAAGTAGGCCTTAGACAAGGATGTGTGATGTCACCGTGGTTTTTTTAATATATTTTATAGATGGGGTTGTAAGAGAAGTAAATGCGAGGGTCTTGGCAAGAGGCGTGGAGTTAAAAGATAAAGAATCACACATAAAGTGGGAGTTGTCACAGTTGCTCTTTGCTGATGACACTGTGCTCTTGGGAGATTCTGAAGAGAAGTTGCAGAGATTGGTGGATGAATTTGGTAGGGTATGCAAAAGAAGAAAATTAAAAGTGAATACAGGAAAGAGTAAGGTTATGAGGATAACAAAAAGATTAGGTGATGAAAGATTGGATATCAGATTGGAGGGAGAGAGTATGGAGGAGGTGAATGTATTCAGATATTTGGGAGTGGACGTGTCAGCGGATGGGTCTATGAAAGATGAGGTGAATCATAGAATTGATGAGGGGAAAAGGGTGAGTGGTGCATTAGGAGTCTGTGGAGACAAAGAACTTTGTCCTTGGAGGCAAAGAGGGGAATGTATGAGAGTATAGTTTTACCAACGCTCTTATATGGGTGTGAAGCATGGGTGATGAATGTTGCAGCGAGGAGAAAGGGTGGAGGCAGTGGAGATGTCATGTCTGAGGGCAATGTGTGGTGTGAATATAATGCAGAGAATTCGTAGTTTGGATGTTAGGAGGTGCGGGATTACCAAAACTGTTGTCCATAGGGCTGAGGAAGGGTTGTTGAGGTGGTTCGGACATGTAGAGAGAATGGAGCGAAACAGAGTGACTTCAAGAGTGTATCAGTGTGTAGTGGAAGGAAGGCGGGGTAGGGGTCGGCCTAGGAAAGGTTGGAGGGAGGGGGTAAAGGAGGTTTTGTGTGCGAGGGGCTTGGACTTCCAGCAGGCATGCGTGAGCGTGTTTGATAGGAGTGAATGGAGACAAATGGTTTTTAATACTTGACGTGCTGTTGGAGTGTGAGCAAAGTAACATTTATGAAGGGGTTCAGGGAAACCGGCAGGGCGGACTTGAGTCCTGGAGATGGGAAGTACAGTGCCTGCACTCTGAAGGAGGGGTGTTAATGTTGCAGTTTAAAAACTGTAGTGTAAAGCACCCTTCTGGCAAGACAGTGATGGAGTGAATGATGGTGAAAGTTTTTCTTTTTCGGGCCACCCTGCCTTGGTGGGAATCGGCCAGTGTGATAATAATAAAAAAAAACATAAAAGCAGTGTACTCTGGGGTATAAAGTAGTAAACAAAAGAATAACTGAAACAATATGCCTCACCCTGAAATAGGTGAGCAATGGTCTCGACAGGAGAGTTCAAGTTCCACTGGCTGATGAACTGAATCTTCTGCTCTCCATTGTTGCAGAAGAGACACCGTCGATACACCCACACACGTTTCCTTGCAGCTACAAGAAAATAGATGTGCACTCAGATACAGAGGATCTCAAAGAGAGAATTTCATTCGAAGCGAAAATGTGATGTAAGTCAAGTCAATCTTCAAGATAGCTTTATTACCCTTTTGTAATTTCAGTAAAGTCAATGGTATTAGGAGCAGCATCTTTGAATAATTATATTACAAGTGAGGTTCTATGCAACTTGGTATTATTAACTGACTTTCCTGCGTGATGACTTTCCTGAGACGCGAGGTACTCTGTTGCGGTGGATCGTGGACGGCGAGGTAGAGGGCGTGGAGTGTGTTGCGAAGACTTCCGTGGAGGAACACAGCTTTCATATCTGCACTTCCTCCCACTATTAACACTGTTGTCTGAGATCGAAAGTGCAACCCTGACATCGTCATCAACCTAAAACGAAATAATTTTTTTTGCTTATTTCATGTAAGGTTATGCAAAATAACCACAAGGGGAGTTGAATGATAGCTCCAGGCCTTTCGTGTTGATCAATGCATCATCAGGAGCTACAATGTTGCAGAAATAGAGCAGGAAGTCAAAGAAGATCTGTTAATGGCAACAGCTCTCTCTGGAGAGATAATTTTGAACTAATCTCTCTGGACAGAGCTGTTCCCATGACCTGATCTTCCCGGATTTCCTGCTCTATTTCGGCAACATTGCGAGTTCCTGATGATGCATTATTGAAACATGAAAGGCCTAGAGCTATCACTCAACTCCCCCCTGTGGCTGCTACGCAGCTTATGTCGGTCGTTTACGATTATTACAGTACCAAACGTTATATAAAGTTCCTTCGCAAGAAATAATACTTGATATAGGGATATTACGATCATCTTGAGGACTTGCCTGAGTCCAGTGTCAGTTCTGTTAGCATCAGTGAGATCGACAATTAGTCCCCGGCAGGAGGTTCTGGTGTCGCCCCACAGACCCTGGAAGAGGCGGTCCTGGACCAGCTTGTCCTGGGACAACACCCATCCGGCCTCTACCACCACTCCAGCCACCACACCTTTCTTCAGATGTCTGAGAAATACAAGTTATTTTTAAATATCTCTTACCTTTAGTGTACTAATTGGTACATTAAAGGTATACTTTAGTGTACTAATTGGTACATTAAAGGTATACTTTAGTGTACTAATTGGTACATTAAGGTATACTTTAGTGACTAAATTGGTATTAAAGGTATACTTTAGTATACTAATTGGTACATTAAAGGTATACTTTAGTATACTAATTGGTACATTAAAGGTATACTTTAGTATACTAATTGGTATTAATTCATTTAACGATTCCGCTTAATTAAAAAATTTCCTATCAAGATACACAAGTATTATATTTGGCTTATTTAAATATTAGTGATGCACTTTAGACGTTACACAGGATCAACCTTAAATTAGTTACCGAATTATTTATTATTGCACTCATTAGGGAAGCCCTAAACCTGTAGGGTTCATACAGTGCCAGGGGAAATGGAAGGCCATTAAGTTCAATTCTAGGAAAAGCAGAATTTGGACAATTTCTTGGATCAAGAGCCCTTCGCTGACATTAAGGGGGGGTGACTATAAGGAATTATCACTTTCCTGAAAAAATTATATCTTCCGTGTCATTAGAAATATTCCAATAAATAAATTAATAAGGAGGAAAGAAGGAGTTTCAAGATAACTTGAACCTTCTGCAAATGATATATAAAAGTGTTTCCTAGAATTTAATCCTGATAAATGCATAGTAAGGAGAATAAGGGAGAAAACCGGTCGCAGAATACAGCCAGTAAGGTGAGACACCACAGGCTATGTACTCTATATGTAAATATTTGCATAATTTCGATAGCATACACAAAATAAAATAACGTAAGAACCACTTACAGAAACCCAGACGAATATTAATTTAATATATTATGTAGAGTTTATGTTAGGCCTGTCTTGGAGTAAGAGGAGCCAGCATAGAGCCAGCATAGAGCCAGCATCTAAGACAGCATATATGTATACTAAGTTTACAAAGAGATTTATAACAGACAGAGCGGATTTTTTACGAGACAAAGCTTAAGGAACTCACCCAAACAACCCTGGAAATGAGGAAAATCAGGAGGATAATGTTACAAAATACTCAGGGGGATTAAATAGAGCAGAGGAAATAAATAGCAACAGACGCAGAAAAACGAGGGTCTCATAGTTTATCTAGTTACTAGATAAACAAAATTCAAACACTAAACTCAATTTAAAAATAAAATATAACTGTATGACCAGAAATAAGTAAATCCGATCAGTAATAGTTAAATAGCTGTGTCAGAGATAGTGTTTTATCTACACCCAAATACAAAGTTTGGCAGAAAAATATTAATCAACTTACCGTAATATCCTGGAAAACACAAATGAGCGAGGTGTAGTGGTGATGAGCACCAGGTGGCAGCTGGTGAGATGGTGCTCCACCACCTGACCCACCATCTCGCCCACATCCACGCCCACCTGCTTCACAGCTCCGTCCACTTCCTGACTAGCTGTCGGCACCAACCATACTACCACCAATATAAGAAGCTTGTATAATACCATCTTTGCCTAGAATTTTAAAAAAGTTTATTAATTAATGAGGTTTAAAGCTTATTGACTACAGGAGGGTCATTATGGCTGCAAATAACCTGATCACCACCGTCAAGAATATATTAATCCCTGATTTAGTGAATAAAATAAAGTATCAGTGTATATACACTGAGTGGTACACTTCTCTCAGTGTATATACGCTGAGTAGTACACTCCACTCAGTGTATATACACTGAGTAGTACACTCCTCTCAGTGTATATACACTGAGTAGTACACTCCTTTCGGTGTATATACACTGAGTGGTACACTTCTCTCAGTGTATATACACTAAGTGGTACACTTCTCTGAGTGTATATACACTTAATACACTTCTCTCAATGTATATACGTTGAGTAGTACACTCCTCTCAAGTATATACACTGAGTAGTACACTCCTCTCAGTGTATATACACTGAGTAATACACTCCACTCAGTGTATATACACTGAGTAGTACACTCCTCTCAGTGTATATACACTGAGTAGTACACCCTCTCAGTGTATATACACTGAGTAGTACACTCCTCTCAGTGTATGTACACTGAATAGTACACTCCACTCAGTGTATATACACTGAATAGTACACTCCACTCAGTGTATATACACTGAATAGTACACTCAACTCAGTGTATATACACTGAATAGTACACTCAACTCAGTGTATATACACTGAATAGTACACTCCACTCAGTGTATATACACTGAACAGTACACTCCACTCAGTGTATATACACTGAATAGTACACTCCACTCAGTGTATATACACTGAATAGTACACTCCACTCAGTGTATATACACTGAATAGTACACTCCACTCAGTGTATATACACTGAATAGTACACTCCACTCAGTGTATATACACTGAATAGTACACTCCACTCAGTGTATATACACTGAATAGTACACTCCACTCAGTGTATATACACTGAATAGTACACTCCACTCAGTGTATATACACTGAATAGTACACTCCACTCAGTGTATATACACTGAATAGTACACTCCACTCAGTGTATATACACTGAATAGTACACTCCACTCAGTGTATATATCCTGGAGTTATAATTAGACAAGAAGTGTTTTTGCAATTAAAAGCAACAAACTAGCGAAACATAATGTCATATATATTGCAAACTTTTGTTTTTTTATCTTCCATTAATCTGTTTCTCTGTTGCAGAGTTTACGAACAATATTGCAGAGTTCACGAACAATATTGCAGAGTTCACGAACAATATTGCAGAGTTCACGAACAATATTGCAGAGTTCACGAACAATATTGCAGAGTTCACGAACAATATTGCAGAGTTCACGAACAATATTGCAGAGTTCACGAACAATATTGCAGAGTTCACGAACAATATTGCAGAGTTCACGAACAATATTGCAGAGTTCACGAACAATATTTCAGAGTTCACGAACAATATTGCAGAGTTAACGAACAATATTGCAGAGTTAACGAACAATATTGCAGAGTTCACGAACAATATTGCAGAGCTCACGAACAATATTGCAGAGTTCACGAACAATATTGCAGAGTTCACGAACATATTGCAGAGTTCACGAACATATTGCAGAGTTCACGAACAATATTGCAGAGTTCACGAACAATATTGCAGAGTTCACGAACAATATTGCAGAGTTCACGAACAATATTGCAGAGTTCACGAACAATATTGCAGATTCACGATACATTATTGCAGAGTTTCACGAACAATTATTGCAGAGTTTTCACGAACAATATTGCAGAATTCACGAACAATATTGCAAAGTTCACGAACAATTATTGCAGAGTTCACGAACAATATTGCAGTGTTCACGGAACAATATTGCAGAGTTCACGAACAATATTGCAGAGTTCACGAACAATATTGCAGATTCAGAACAATTATTGCAGAGTTCCGACATATTGCTTTAGAAGTTCTACAAGATAATTGCAGAGTTAGTACTATTGCAGAGTACGTATGTGTAAGTTCAGAACTGATGGAGAGTTCACGACAATTTGAGAGTTCCGCATATGGCAGTAGTTTAGAATAATATTTGCAGTAGTTTTTTCGATTTGTAGAGTTTACGCAAGAGCAATGTAATTGTAGACCCATATAATCTAGTTGTTGCTTTTGTCAGTTCAATATATTTTATCAGTTAATAAAATAGTATTGTTACCATTAGATACTTTGTAATATATTTAGAACAATTAGATAATTACACTGCAGATATTGTAAGAGTATCTTAATTAGAACTAGAGTTCGCCACACAGTGTTGTATGTAAGTCCTATACAGGTAGTAGATTTGAGCAGTAGTGAGCAGTTGTTGTATCGTTGCAAGAGTGTTGGTCAGTCATAATTTGATATGTCATATCGATATATGTGAACAGATTGATGCAGAAAACCAACTGCTCGAGTGAGAGAAGACTGTATTACCTACGTTTCCCCACGTGCTTTAAGATACAATATATAGCTATGTGACGTGACGAAGACTGTGGCTGGTGTTTAATACGTTTCTAATAATGGAAGAGAGAGACTGTTACGGATGTCAATACGCAGGTTACCTGTGGTTCCCTAAAAATTTAGCATAAAGATTACAGTACTAAATGCCCTTTAATCGAAGAAGGGCTGTTTATTGCATCAAAACAATTCATCTATTATTGCTATTAATTAATTTTAGCATATGTCGTGAATAATAGGTTTCTCATTACAATAGACACTTTGTTAGATGAAGGTCAGAGAACCGACATGTTGATAAATTGGACACATGTGCAACTCTTGGTATCTTATAATGAGGAAACGTTCGCCACACAGTGGCTTCGTCAGTCCATACAAGGAGAATCTTGAAGAACAGGAGGAGAATGAGGTAATCAGTCCCTCAACTTGAGTCGATATGGTCAGTCCATCAATCTTGAATAGAATGAATAGATTCTATTCAAGATTGATGGACTGACCACATCGACTCAAGGTTGAGGGACTGATTACCTCATTCTCCTCCTGTTCTTCAAGATTCTCCTTTGTATGGACTGACGAAGCCACTGTGTGGCGAAACGTTTCCTCAATAAAGATACCCAAGAGTTGCACATGTGTCCAATTTACCACAATAGACACTGTCGTGATTGTCAAAATGTATACATAAAAATATACAAAAATATACAATCAGAAGAAAGTCTGTTTCTGTTTTTCACAGAGGCAAACACGTTCACTACATTAATTAGACACGTATTAAAACTACAATTTTTCACATAATCAGGGTAAGAATCAATTCTCTTTTCAAAATTACCTTTATTCACGTTAGGTAGATTAATACAAGAATGGATATTTCGTCCTTCCCCACTCGTTATACAGAGGAATCAGTGTGGATATTCGACTTCTGCCATGTAAACAATGGTTGACAGCTTGTAAGTATGAACATACGCTAAATGATCTGTTAACGTCGGGTGTTGACGTATTTCGTGGCGCGTTAGTGGCACCTGCAGGTTTTCGTTCCAAAGGCGTGAATCGAGGACGTCCGGTATGCGTTCGTGTTTTCACAGTCCCGTCTTCCTGCCACCGTCTAATCCACCTGTATACCGTAGACACGCTGATGCCGCTCCGACGAGATATTTCACTGGCTGCCATACCATCCATCCACATCCAGATGATGAGAATACGGTCAGACACGAGGGTTCTGTTGTGAGTGGCTGGTTTATTCATGATGGAGAGCCTGCCAAACAGGAGTACCATGTACCACACGAAGATGACACTTCATGTGTAGAAAATAATGCTATCAATATCGAAAACAATAAGAATGAATGATGGAGGAGGATTTTTGTGAAGCGTTCCATACATCAGAGGTAACATCTGGAGGACGTCTAATTTATATAGTATATATATAAATAAAAATATATATATATATATATATATATATATATATATATATATATATATATATATAATATATATATATATATATATATATATATATATATATATATATATATTATATTCAGCAATGGTTCAGTGCTGTACCAGTGTTGTACCAGTGCTGTACCACTATTCCAGTGTTGTACGAGTGCTGTACCAGTGCTGTACCAGTGGTCCAGTTTTGTAAAAGAGATGTAACTCTGGTCCAGTGCTGCACCAGTGCTGAACCACTCGGTCCAGTTTTGTACCATTGTCCCAGTGCTGTACCATTGTCCCAGTGTTGTGCCACTGGCCAAGTGCTGTACCACTGGCCCAGTGATGTACCACTGGTTCGGTGCTGTACCAGTGGTCCAGTGCTGTACCACTGGTGCAGTGCTGTACCACTGGTCCACTGCTATACCAGTGCTGTACCACCGGTCCAGTGCTGCATCAGTGCTAGAGAGTGGTCAAGTTTTGTACCAGTGCTGTACCACTGGTCCACTGCTGTACCAGTGCTGTACCACTGGTCCAGTGCTGTACCAGAGCTGAAACACTGATCTAGTTTTGTACCACTGTCCCAGTGTTGTACCACTGTCCCAGTGTTGTACCACTGTCTCAGTGTTGTACCACTGGCCCAGTGTTGTACCACTGGCCCAGTGATGTACCACTGGCTCGGTGCTATACCACTGGCTCGGTGCTGTACCACTGGCCCAGTGCAGTACCACTGGTCCAGTGCTGTACCAGTGCTGTACCACCGATTCAGTGCTGTACCAGTGCTGTACCACTGGTCCAGTGCTGTAACAGTGCTGTACCACTTGTCCAGTGCTGTCCCACTGGTCCAGTGCTGTATCAGTGGTGTACCACAGGTTCAATGCTGCACCAGTGTTGTATCTGTGGTCGAGTTTTGTACCAGTGCTGTACCACTGTCTCAGTGCTGTACCACTGTCCCAGTGTTGTACCACTGGCCCATTGCTGTACCACTGGCCCAGTGATGTACCACTGGCTCGGTGCTGTACCACTAGTCCAGTGCTGTACCAGTGCTGTACCACTGGTCCAGTGCTGTACCAGTGCTGTACCACTGGTCCAGTGCTGTACCAGTGCTGTACCACTGGTCCAGTGCTGCACCAGTGGTCCAGTTTAGTACCAGTGCTGTACCAGTTCTGAACTGCTGGCCCAGATTTGTACCACTGTCCCAGTGTTGTACCACTGGTCCAGTGTTGTAACAGTTCTGAACCACTGGCCCAGATTTGTACCACTGTCCCAGTGTTGTACCACTGGCATAGTGATGCACCATTGGCTCGGTGCTGTACCACTGGTCCAGTGCTGTACCAATGGTCAAATGCTGCATCAGTGCTGGACCAGTGGTTCAGTTTTGTACCAGTGCTGTACCACTGGTCCAGTGCTGTACCAGTGCTGAACCACTGGTCAAGTTTTGTACCACTGTCCCAGTGTTGTACCACTGGCCCAGTGATGTACCACTGGCTCGGTGCTGTACCACTGGTTCGGTGCTGTACCACTGGTCCAGTTTTGTACCAGTGCTGTACCACTAGTCCAGTGCTGTACCAGTGCTGCACCACTGATTCAGTGCTGTACCCGTGCTGTACCACTGTTCCAGTGCTGTACCAGTGCTGTACGACTGTTCCAGTGCTGTATCACTGTCCCAGTGTTGTACCACTGGCCCATTGCTGTACCACTGGCCAAGTGATGCACTACTGGCCCAGTGATGTACCACTGGCTCGGTGCTGTACCACTGGCCCAGTGCTGTACCAGTGCTGTACCACTGGTTCACTGCTGTACCAGTGCTGTACCAGTGCCGTACCACTGGTCCTGTGCTGCACCAGTGGTGTACCACTGATCCAGTGATGCACCAGTGGTGTACCACTGATCCAGTGCTGTACAACTGGTACACTGCTGTACCAGTGTTGTACCACTGGTACACTGCTGTAGCAGTGCTGTACCACTTGTCCAGTGCTGGACCAGTGGTCCAGTTTTGTACCAGTGTTGTACCACTGGTCCAGTGCTCTACCAGTGCTGAACCACTGGTCCAGTTTTGAACCACTGTCCCAGTGTTGTACCACTGTCCCAGTGTTGTACCATTGGCCCAGTGATGTACCACTGGCTCGGTGCTGTCCCACTGGCTCGGTGCTGTACCACTGGCTCGGTGCTGTACCACTGGTGCAGTGCTGTACCAGTGGTGTAATACTGGCCCAGTGCTGTACCACTGGTCCAGTTTTGTACCAGTGCTGTACCAGTGCTGCACCACTGGTTCAGTGCTGTACAAGTACTGTACCACTGGACCAGTGCAGTACCAGTGCTGTAGCAATGGTCCAGTGCTGTACCAGTGGTGTACCACTTGTCCAGTGCTGTACGACTGGTCCAGTGCTGTACCAGTGGCGTACCACTGGTTCACTGCTGCACCAGTGTTGCACCAGTGGTTCAGTTTTGTACCAGTGCTGTACCACTGTCCCCGTGCTGTACCACTGTCCCAGTGTTGTACCACTGGCCCATTGCTGTACCACTGGCCCAGGGATGTACCACTGGCTCGGTGCTGTACCACTGGCCCCTTGCTGTAACAGTGCTGTATCACTGGTCCACTGCTGTGCCAGTGCTGTACCAGTGCCGTACCACTGGTCCAGTGCTGAACCAGTGGTCCAGTTTTGTACCAGTGCTGTACCAGTTCTGAACCACTGGCCCAGATTTGTACCACTGTCCCAGCGTTGTACCACTGGTCCAGTACTGTACCAGTGCTGTACCACTGGTCCAGTACTGTACCAGTTCTGAACCACTGGCCCAGTTTTGTACCACTGTCCCAGTGTTGTACCACTGTCCCAGTGTTGTACCGCTGGCCCAGTGATGTACCACTGGCTCTGTGCTGTACCACTGGTCAAGTGCTGTTCCAGTGGTGTACCACTGATCCAGGGATGTACCAGTGGTTCAGTTTTGCACCTGTGCTGTACCACTGGTCCAGTGCTGTACCAGTACTGAAACACTGGGCCAGTTTTGTACCACTGGCCCAGTGCTGTACCACTGTCCCAGTGTTGTACCACTGGCCCAGTGCTGTACCACTGGCCCAGTGATGTACCACTGGTTCAATACTGTACCACTGTCTCAGTGTTGCACCACTGTCCCAGTGCTGTACCACTGTCCCAGTGCTGTACCACTGACTCAGTGTTGTACCCTTGGCCCAGTGCTGTACCACTGAGCCAGTACTGGGGAAGAGACACGCCTACCACTGTCAACACTGGAGATTAAGACACATCCACCACTGTCAACACTGGGGAAGACACTCCCTCCTCTGTCGACTCTGGAGAAGACACACCCACCAGACACACCACCACTGCCAACACTGAGGAAGACATATCCACCACTGTCAACACTGTGGAAGACACACCCACCACTGTCAACACTGGGGAAGACACTCCCTCCTCTGTCAACACTAGGTAAGACACACTCACCACTGTCAACACTGGGGAAGACACTCCCTCCTCTGTCAACACTGGGGAAGACACACCCACCATTCTCAACACTGGGGAAGACACCCACCACTGTCAACACTGGAGATAAAGACAAACCCACCCCTGTCAACACTGGAGATAAAGACACACCCACCACTGTCAACAGTGGAGATAAAGACACACCCACCACTGTCAACACTGGAGATTAACACACGCCCACCACTGTCAATAGTGGAGATAAAGACACACCCACCACTGTCTACATTGGATATTAAGACACACCCACCACTGTCAACACTGGAGAATAAGACACATCTACAACTGAAGAGAAAGACACCATCCACCACTGTCAGTACTACTGGAGATGAAAATGCATGCACCACTGTCAACACAGGGAAGCAAGACACATCCACTGCTGTGGAGTAAGATACGCAGCACTTACTGAATTGATGGCACTCTTTCAATTTTAGAGATAGGGAGAGAGAGAGAGAGAGAGAGAGAGAGAGTCTAACCTATGACTTACACACTGTATAGAAGCCAGATGAAGTTTGGTATCCTGCGGTATGGCTCACTTTGTGGCCATCACAGTGACCCATTGATGTTATATACTGGAGAGAGGTGGTAGATGCGCAGCAGCAGGAGGAGATCTGAGAGCAGCATCACTCGGAAGCCAGCCTCCCATTGGCTGGAAAACTGCTTCTTTATCGGATAATCTTTTGAGTGAAGTGTGTACCTGTGTGTGTGTCTGTTTGCGATTGCAAACACGTATACAAGTATGCACATGTATGGGTGTGCGTGTACGCTTGCGTATGTGTTTGTTTTCACGTAGTTTATGCGTAGTTTTGTTTACACTCCACATACATGTTGTTTAATGTCATGATTCTTACCAATGCTTTATGGAACGACTTGATAGGTAAACGAATATATAAAAATGATCACTTGTTTAGCATAGAATACCAGAACATAAAATGAGTTTAACTGAAACAAATAAATGTCCAAAACAGTCTAATTAAAAAAATAAAACGAAATTAAAAGTATAGTAAGAAATCGTGTCTAAAATATGCTAGGTTCTCCCAGCACCATCAGTCCTGATCAGAGATCTGTGATGCTCTGAGAAGGTGGTACTGAGGCGAGGAATGCCAATGGTTAGGTTCTCCCATGATCATTATTCGTTGTCCGAGGTGTCCTGACGGAGAGGATGGTCATTACTGAGGCGATGAGCGCCAGTAAACGAGGTTCTCTCCCAGCAGGGCGAGGAAGGCGATGCCGGAACCAGCAAAGAGCAGGTAGAAAGCACCCTGAAGGTGATTGATCCCTAGCACCTTCTGTTGACTTTCCTATGGAAAACGAGCAGCTCATTATGATTGTTCTTAGTTTTTATTACTACTGAGTTTGGCTGTAAGAAAATTATTTTCTAATGAAAAATGAATCATGAGAAAACTTTAAAAGCTTCAAATTACAAAAATTAATTTTTTAAAGTATCGGAATGTAAATGAAGTAAAATGATATTCTAGCTACATTTACAACACATTTATTTACATAGATTTGCAAGTACAAACAGAGATTAAGAGTATTAAAATGATTTACAGTATACCTCTTTTACATTCTCCAGAAACTGGTGAGATTTTAGCGCTCCTGCTTCTCTGTTTTCCTTCACCCTGTTACGAATTACCTCCTCTGTCCAGAATTGTAGAATTCCAGCGTCTTCCAGGCGAGACATCAGTTGTACGAAACGTCTGTGGAATGGCGCTCCTTTTCTGGAGAATATGAGTGCAAATTTTTAACGGTACTAGCCTAGTTGTGGTTGCAGGGGTCGATTCACAGCTCCTGGTCCAGCCTCTTAACTGTGCTCAGTGTCTTCAGATACATAACGTCCCTCAAACTACATAAGAAGATTAACACTGTATACTTACCTGAACCCCCATCCAAAGCAAGCCAGTACATTCACTCCTTTCTTAGAAATATAGATGGGTGTCTGCCCGTTGGCATCAGTGTAGGAAGAGGTGATGATGACGGTGATGTAGTTTTTCACGGTAAGGAATGAGAAGCCTCCTGCCAGCACCTTCTTCAGGGCTTCCTTCAGCACTAACACCTGCAAATAACAAAAAGGCACAATACCGTGACTGGAACGATACACAAATAACCCGCACATAGAAGAGAGGAGCTTACGACGACGTTTCGGTCCGACTTGGACCATTTACAAAGACTTTGTATATGGTCCAAGTCGGACCTAAACGTCGTCGTAAGCTTCTCTCTTTTATGTGCGGGTTATTTGTGTATCTAACACCTGCAGTTGTTGGGTTATATCTGCTAAGTTAGTAGAAGAGTGCTAAGTAAAAGGTCATGAAGAGCGAAACGTTGCCACAATAAAATGCCACATTAAATGCATTTGTGTCCTTTTACTGAACATGTTGTCGGTAATTCTACAAACATTAATACAGTACAACAAAATTCTACCAATATTAATACGGTAGAACAAAGTGACGCGATAATGAATTAATCATTTATATTATAAAATTCAACTATAAGTGAGGCCATAATTGTTTTTTCCTCTCTTTGAGAATACAACAAAATTACAATACGCTGTAGAGTACATTTAGCAGGAGAGTATTTAAACAAATTAAAAAATACAGTGTATTCAGATAACCAGTTTTTCTAGAGTTTACCTCCATTTTTTTATGCACCTGCTTTATCACAGGGTCTGTATGCTTTGAAAAATACTCCAAAATGGCTCCACTATACCACCAGGGTTCACTGCCCCACCTCCAGTTATCCTTCTCCACCACGTCCTGAAAGCTGTCTATGGTTGGCGACTTTCCCTGAACCGTTAAGTGTGCAATCAGAGAGGATTGAAACCCTGTAGTGATGACAAGACAGAACACAAGCCACACCCCCACCAGCACCTGCAAGTACACAAAATATTATGACCCCAAGTTAAGAACTTTTTTCCATACATCACTAATGAAGGACAGACAGTTATGACCAGCACAAACAAGAGAACAGACTTATAAAATCATTTGGAAATTAATGTGTTTACTCTTCCCGAATCGTCGACTGACGGGTTTGAGGGAGGATTCGCCAGGAGTGCTCCCCATCCATACAAGAAGGCAGTGATAAACTGGACAACACGCCCTCCAACAGCCCAGTGCCACGCCCTCTGCAGCAACCACAGTATCATGCCCCACGCCACAACGCCTACCAGCAGCGCCAGCCACAACTCGCCTGCGTAACGTAAAATTTGTATTTTTGGGTGACAGATATTCGATGGAATACCTGGAGATAAAGTGTATCAGTCAACCACAAGCTTTTACACTATACGCATGCAGTCGGAGGGTGAGTTGACTGACATATCAACATACTTCTGGAAAGACGGCGATTGTAAGAATGATGATGACTGTGTTTCCTTTTCGGAGTTACCGTACAGTGGCGGAAAACGGCCTGGAAGCTATCTAACAATCCATTTATCTAGTTGTCAAACTGTCTGTATAGACAGATACATCTATGTATATATACATTCATATGTATATCTATCTATATAGACAGATATATGTATATATACATACATACATATATAATAAAAATAATGCAGAAAATATCTAAACGTTAATGTAACGCCGAGAGATAACTTAGTGATCCTGTGTAGGAATAGCAACAATCGGACAACTAATAAATACTTTGACAAACTTACCTTTGAATGGCCTGACTACAGCCAGGTATTCAGGCAGGACAGAAGGTTTTAGTGATGTTATAACCAACATATCTGCTGGATACGACCTAGCAAAGTCAGTCACCTTCAGTCGTCCAGGTGTGGGTGCCACGATACTGCAGAAATCTGCCTCTTCCCTTTGAAGTTGACCAATCAGACCAGTGTAACTGCCATTTGTCTCGTCGCCAAAGGAATGTTTAGGTTCCTCAGTAATCTGGAAGCTAAATGAAGTTATATGAAAATTATTTAGAAAAATTATTTTAAAATAGTTATGTATTTTTACGTCGGCTGTTTCCTACTAAGGCAGATTTATCCTAATAAGAAAGCACATGAACTATCAGTTGACTTCTCGTTATATATTTCCAGACGGGTTTACATTACTATGCAGTGATTTTTTTTATTTAAAAACTCGTTGCAAAGCAAACCTTTACCGGGACCAAGTTTCACTCTGTACAGTTTTATTAAGTCACACAGAAGATGCAAAATAAACTTGAGTTTGCCCTCTTACTTCATGACAAATATCATAGCCAAATCTCTTCTTAATAAGACGAAAATAAAGTCAAGATATAAAGAACGCGAACAGTAATGGACGGAAAGTCATGGTTCTTACGTGAAGTTGAGAGTTTCGGCGAAGCTTTCAATTATTCTGGTATCCAGAGAGTCTCTTGGTGTTACTAGACCACCAGCGTCACTGCTGCGGATCCTACGAAAATCCATGTAAGGGAACAATGGCAGAGCAACGATTCGGAGTTTATGGCCCATCATATTTGTGGGTTCTGTAACACGAAGCGAATATCTACATAAGCAACTATATCTATTTCTACATTTATATATATATATATATATATATATATATATATATATATATATATATATATATATATATATATATAATGTAATTAGTATATGTTAGAAAATTGATTTAGGAAATTTAATCAAATAATCTCAGATACAATAGATTATCAATGAATCTGCCTACATTAAAAAAAAAATCCTGACCATTTAATGAAGTTAGGCCGAGACATCCGTAGTCAGTGAAGTTCCAGTAAGAAACAAGTCTGACGTCTGCCTCTCCAGCGTTGCAGTATAAACATCTCTGGTGTACCCACACTACATCGTTATCTTTTATTTAAGTACAACAAAAGTCTTATTAGTATTTAAAGTTCCTTTTTTAAAACTCATTTACAAGTGATGTTGTCAAAGGTGAAATTATATGTTAGTTATGATAAAATGTTGAATCTCAGTGTTGTCTGAAGGAGGTTGTCTTGAAGGATGTTGTACGGGGGCGTCGCCCCTGCAGCCCGGTCATAAACCAGGCCTACAAACACAATGTTATCACTGTTTTAAAATATAAAACTCGGAAAAGACAAGTTGAAAAACTTGTAAAGTTACGGCAGCTAGTTCTTGTCTTTCTTCTTAGCATCTGTTTTTAATGGAATATTTATATTTTGGATTTCGGACACGACATTGTGAAAAAATATTTGAACCTCACTGTTCCATTTAATGTTCAGACCAGAAAACTTTAGACTTGTGATATATTATGTAACTCCAAAACTAGTTGAACAAGTTATTTGTTAAGTAACAGTGCTGTAAATATCTTATGTATGAACCAGTGAAAAGCAAAGGTGCACTGAGCATAATAATGAACAGTATAATAATATTTGTGGAACCAGAGTATTCAACATCTACTAGAACATATTAGAAATACTGCTGGCATAAGTGTAGAATTCGTCTAGTATCTTCACCAGGCTGTGATGGATATGTGAGGCTGCGGGCTACCAACAGCAACAGTCTGATTGACCAGGCAAGCACTACGCGAGCCTGGCCCATGGCCGGGCTCCAGGAGTAAAAAAAAAAAAACTCTGGGAACTTATTACAGACATATCAAAGGTAAATGTGCACGGCTACGTACCTCAGACATAGCAAGGGGTCGTCATGTACACACCTCTCCTTGTGATGCTCCTGTAGTGTGGATTGTGGTGTTGCGATGAGGATTGGAAAGTGAGGTCTTCGAAGGTCAGGTACAGTGTATTAATAGTGTTACGGAAAAGTTTGTGGTGGAGTACAGTCTTTGTCTCTGTACTCCGACCCACCACAACCACCCACATGTCGGGCATCTTCCAGAGTCCTGATGACTCAAGCAACCTGCCATCAAAAGTTTGTCAGAACTTTCGATAACGCAAATGACGCAATGACCAGGCAAAAAATTTATTGTAAAGCTCAGCTATAATCACGTAAATTATATTTTAAATCATTAAACAAGAACATCAGTGCTGTAAAAATATTGAGAACATGTAACTTGGATTTCCTCTTTCTAAATGGCTATTACTTTACGGTATACATTACCTTGTGGTATACATTACCTTGTGGTATACATTACCTTGTGGTATACATTACCTTGTGGTATACATGGGAAGAAAACAAAACTCTAGAGACAGTACTACGAATAAGGTTAACCGATAATCCAGTACCTGAAAGAACTTGAGATGCTATTATTCTTCGTGTCAGTGAGGTCAAGAATGAGTCCCCGGCAGGTGCTTCTGTTGTCACTCCACAGACTCTGGGCCAGCTGGTCCTGGCAGAACATCGTGCTTGCTTCCACCACCGTGCAAGCCTTACCACTGCCACTCAGGCTTCTGAGCCACACATGTTTGAGAGACATCAAAAAAATCCCATTTTTTAATATGTTATATTTAACACAAATATAAACCTTGCTAATTTACGTTTTCCATTAATTTATATTTATATTAATAAATAATGAATAACTAGAGTAACTAAATTGTAATGAACAATTGTCAATCTTCTATAATAACCCACATGAGAAAGAAACTTAAGAGATTAAGTGATCTGAATATTTCAACTATAGATAACAATAAGATGATGAGATTATCAAATGAATTAGATAAGGAAAAATGGATATCAGATTGGAGGAGAGAGTATAGAAGACATGAATTCGTTTAGATATTTGGGAGTAAATTTGTCGGCGGATGGATTTATGTAGTACGAGATTTACCATGGAGATAATGAACGAAAAATAGTGGGTGGTGCATTGAGATATATGTGGCGGCAAAGAACGTTAACCATGGAGACAGAGAAAACCATACCACGGGTGGGGGTTAGAACCTGTGATCAGACATCTGAAATGCCGTATCTGTGCGCCTCTGCGAAGACAGTGATATGTGTAAATGATGGTGAAAGTGTTTCTTTTACAGGGAGTCACCTTGCCTCGGTGGGAGACGGCCAGTGTGTTAAAAAAAATTCGATCCCCTTCTGGGATCTTCTTCAGCTGTAGAGGATCCCAGAATAGGGTCGGAATATACAGATTAATTAATGAATAATAACTTGAATTAAATTTACCTGAGTATGTTGGAAGTATGTTGTGAGTGTGACGCAGTGGTGAAGAGCACCAGGTGACAGCCAGTTAGATGGTGCTCCACCACCTGACCCACCATCACGCCCACATCCACGCCCACCTGTTTCACAGTTCCGCCCACTTCCCAAATGTCTGAACTTACAGCGCTCACCAGTATGGCAAGCACTGCCATTATATGACTCCAGAAGAACATCATTGCAACCTGCATTAACGAGATATGATTTTCTGTAAAATACCTCTCCAAACCCTTCATTATCAAATAAAAAATGAAAGAGAAAACGAAGATACAAATATATATAATTGAAATGTAAATTACAAGTGTAGATTAAACGTGTAGAAATTATCACCCCTGACAAGTGTCGGATCAACTTGGCTCTGATAGATATATTGGACAACAGGTCTCCAAGAGCAACAGTCTGAACTGCCAGTCATTTAACAGTAAAACATGGCCACCAGAGAGGACTGAGGGAGTTGGTAAAGCTCTGGAAACCTGTCACAAAGATACAGTTAAATCAACAGGTATGGTATGTGAATTAATATGGCCTTTCAAATAAGTGCTTCTAAATAAGAAAAGGCTATATATATAATAGGAATAGATGTTAGGGTCATGACTGAAACAGAACTCGAGAAAGTATCTTGAGCAGCATCAAATAGGAAGCAATGAGAGAAAAAATTGGGTTGGGCAGGACTGGCAATACTCCATAAAGACAACTGAAATTTTGAGGAGATTGCGAATACATAAAATGAATACAAAACACTATCCAGTAGTGACTATGAAGTGAGGAGAAGCTGAAGCAACAACACCAGTTACTAATGATCCTCAGTTAAACTCAATAGAGCAAATTTTAATTCGATTATAAATTTATAGTAAGTTTTTTGGAACTACAGATTATAGGTGACTATTTGTCGCAGTGAAAAAATGCATGTGTGTATTTTGGTATATATTTATATCTTTTGATCATAGTGTGTGTGTGTGTGTGTGTGTGTGTGTGTGTGTGTGTGTGTGTGTACTCACCTAATTGTGGTTCCAGGGGTCGAGACTCAGCTCCTAGCCCCGCCTCTTCACTGAGTGCTACTAGGTCCTCTCTCTCCCTACTCCATGAGCTTTATCATACCTCATCTTAAAGATATGTATGGTTCCTGCCTCCACTACATCACTTGCTATACTATTCCACTTCCTGACTACTCTATGACTGAAGAAATACTTCCTAACATTCCTTTGACTCATCTGGGTCTTCAACTTCCAGTTGTGACCCCTTGTTTCTGTGTCTCCTCTCTGGAACATCCTGTCTCTGTCCACCTTGTCTATTCCACAGGGTACTTTGTATGTTGTTATCATGTCTCCCCTAACCCTCCTGTCCTCCAGTGTCGTCAGGCCGATTTCCCTTAACCTTTCTTTGTAGGACATTACCCTTAGCTCTGGATCTGGCCTTGTTGCAAACCTTTGCACTTTCTCTAATTTCTTGACGTGCTTGATCAAGTGTGGGTTCCAAACTGGTGCTGCAAACATGTGTGTGTGTGTGTGTGTGTGTGTGTGTGTGTGTGTGTGTGTGTGTGAAAGATTTGTTATTGGAGGGATTATCAACAAAAAGGCGTACTGGAACACAGCATTAATTTTATTTTTTAAATATATATATATATATTATATATATATATATATATATATATATATATATATATATATATATATATATATATATATATATATAATATATATATATATATATATATATATATATAATATATATATGGTGAGAAAATAAGGTACTCAAGCAGCATTAACGAGAGAACTCATTTTTTTCTCATGTATTCCTTTTATTGGCTTGTAGAACAGACACAATGGCTTCCTCTCTGAGCACTGGAGATCCTCCTCCTCCTCCTGTTCGTGGTCAGTTTAATATGAAAAATTACTTTCTTTTTAATGATTAAGTGGCTTAGCCATTTTATTTTCTATACCTTTTCCTAATTGTATATATTTCCATATTTATATCCACTATTTTCTGAGGAATCATTAATTCTTCGTTTACCTAAACCATTAACATAACAAAATAAATACCTTTAGAGTTGCACATGCTCGTAGTATTCTGAGTAAGGCTTGATATTTCCATTCATCATTTCTTGGTAATAATTAAAATTATTTCTAAGAATTTCCTCTTGGTATGTTTTTTTGCACCTCTCGTTGTGAGAAATCAAAGAAACTAAATTCTTTTGCATTGTGTCAGTTATAAGATAATTTTTGTAATTCTGCAATATATTAAAAATGTCATCTCTCTTTGTATAAGTACTTGGATGTTGATAGGCAGATTTAACTACAGGTTCATACGACTTAAAGATATGTCTGCCATCCAAGTGCTTGTCCTGAACTGTGGCTGCGTTGTACCGGTTGACCCAGCGGTACACTGTAGAGATGCTGACACCTGTTTCACTGGAGATTTCCTTTGCTGACATTCCATCCAGCGACATCAACACAATTCTGACGCGAGTGGCCAACATCAACTCTTTGTTTTGTTTCAGCTTTTTCATAGCACTGACTCTGTCAAATGAAATAATCACAGTTGTACAGAAGCATTTCAGTAACTCGTGTTTATTTAGTTTAAACGTTGCGACTCGACAATAAAATAAATTTACATCAATATCAGAGTTCAGTTCTACTGTGTAAGAGAAATTTGAATAATAAATAACAGAAAATACGTAACAGTTCCAATATTTTTTTCAGTAACATCCTGGTATTTTTACAGCACGACACTACCAGACAATGTCATTCTAATAATAAGTCTATTGTAACTTTATCAAAGAGTTTCTCCAAGAAACTGAACATACTATAATACCACCATAACTGTGAAAAACTAAGAACATCAGTTAGGCAGCAGCTTATAGTTTTAGGATGAAGAAGTTCTCAGCTGCAGGGCGAAATTTAAAGTACTTTACATCTCTAACCTTATAATTATTTTTTCCAGGTGGAATCGTTTGTGATATCGACCAGTGATTATTACACTTTGTATGTATGTATATATGTATGTATGCATGTAATATATATATGTATATATATATATATATAATATATATATATATATATATATATATATATATAATATATATATATATATATATATATATATATATATATATATATATATATATATATATATTATATATATATATATATATATATATATATATATATACATATATTGTTAGTTTAACTGAATTCTTTCTTTCTGTTAATATGTCTCTTCATATAACTCCGAATAACAAACTCGTAGAGAAGTAACGTCGTAATATTCACTAATAAAGCAGACTGAGTAAAACCTTCCTGGTTTATGTATCACTCACCGTGTGGCAGCGTCAGGGATTTTTTGAAGTCTTCTTCACTGGTTGATGCCGCTCGCGTCGTTCCTCCTCAGTGACGCAAGACGGCCGGGGTTCTATTTATCAACGGGGACCTGTAAAGCCGCGCAGGAGCGACAACTACCTCAGTTTCGTCAATAAATTACGCAATAATTGATCCTCTGTCTTGGTAACAATATATGAACTCACTTGGTAGATCGAATAATTTACTCGTGTACACAAATACACTCGGAGTTATACATGTGGCCAAAACACATATATTACACAGATATACACCCACCCACCAACCCCCCCCCCCACACACCATGCTATGATATAAATAACTTTCATATATAATAGCTATATTGTCAGTGATATAATCACAGGCAATGATTTTAGGAGCTTCCGCAACTCTTGAAAACTGGTCCGTTTAAAGGGACACATTCAACGGGAGACATCTGGATATGATATAAATGACTTGACATACGAAATATATAGATAGATCTGGTAATTGTCTTTCATACCTGTAGAAAAGGGGCTCACTTAAAAGGACTCTTTTAAAGGGGAGGCATCAGTAGTTTCAAGGGAGACATCCATAGTTTATACACACATAATAAAGTGTTTGTGGGATTAACAAATCCTTTAACATGATGGTAAACACTTAAAATAAATAACAAAAGTAACTGAGAGTAAAATCGAACAAAATATGCATTTTTATCATTTTACTGGTTAATTGGGCTTAAAACCCAATTATCCTGTTTACCTTTTACCTGTGATGAATGGTTTGAAAAACCGACAAGATTGATGGACTGAACACATCGACTCCAGGCTGAGGGATTGATTACCTCATACTCCTCCTCTCCTTACGCCTTACTCTTTGTATTGGACTGATGAAGCCACTGTGTGGCGAAACGTTTCCTGAATAAAGATTCCCATATGCTGCATAAGTGTCTCAATCTCCACCTTTTACCTGTCCACCTCCAGTCGAAAACACTTTAATCCCAAATCTTTGCGTATTAAGACCATAGTAAGCTTAAATAAGATATATATCCCTCCACGCTTACATACACTGTTGTTCTCAGTGCATATTAATAAAGATGATAATTCGTTATCTGGGCTTTAAGTTTTATTGCACTTTTTATTTCACTTGTAAAAAATATTTAAATATATTTTTTAAGGTTCTTTAATTCATATTCAAAGATAGAGGGAAATTTCAAGAAATATAACTGAGTGAAATTTTATTTGCAGCCATATATAGAAAAGAATATTTTATTATTCAAAGTGTGTAATTGTTGTTAATATTTTAAGTATATTAGTAAATTGTATTGTGTAATTAATATACGTATGAAGTGCTAGTTTCACCTAATTATTTCAACAATTCCTACATTTTAACATTAACTAAATTCTAACAACTAAACAGCTGTTGCTGTGACTGTAACTTGAAGAGGATCCCTGACGGGGGTCGAAATATGCAGATCGATCAGTCTCCTGAGTTTCTTTTTTCATGTGGGTTATCACTGAGCAAATACTTAAGAAATTAGACAACAAATGACTCAAAATGTTTCTTCCAGCATCATCATCCCCGGCACGAGGTCTAGCGATGCTGGAAAAGGCTTTACAGAGGCGAGGAGCGCCAGTGGATGAGGCGTCCTCCCAGAAGGGTGAGGAAGGCGATGCTGGATCCCAACAGGATCAGGTAGAACTCAGCAGGGCCAGATTAAGAAGTCTCCGGGCCCTAGGCTATTCAGATTGGCGGGGCCCCTTTGAGTTACGGATAAGCGAAGCTACCCCTTCCATCTTGGGGGTGGGGCGGGGTCGGTGTGAGCCTGTTTAAGGTCTAATTAAATACATTCTGGCTATTTAGATTAAATTTAATAGGGAAAGTACATCAAGACAACCAAAACCATTTACCAACAGCCATTATAACTATCTTGTTAAATCATGCATTTTAAAGAGAATAAACTCAAGACAGCATAGTATTACTAGATTAAGTTATTAAAGTAGTGACATCTATGGTTAGGTTTATTTATTTTTATTTTATTTTATTTCATTATTTATTTTTGTTTTGATTAATGTTTAAAAATCAATTTTACTCTCCAAACACTTGAACTTTTTAGGTAGGGACCCCTTTGCACTTGCACCATGTGCGCAGTCTTGGATGAGCCCCTGAACCCCTTGGACCGCGGGGCCCCCAAATGCGCGGGGCCCTAGGCAAATGCCTAGTTTGCTTATGCGGTAATCCGGCCCTGGGTAGAAGGCGTCCTGCAGGTGATGCAAACTCAGGACCACATCATCGTTCTATGCAATTTTTATTGCTTTTAAAATCTTATAATATTTACTTAACGTATATGGTATGACGTTGTGGAAAACAGTTTACCACACATTCGACTAATTTACAGTTTGAACCTAATGAGGAATTTCTGACAAATAGAAGCCGAGGGGTTGGATACGTTAGGCAATACTATTCATTGTAAATTTTAGCACGAATATGTTAGGATCAAACGTAAATTTTGATGTTTAAAAAAATCATCATCAAAACATTCATAGATTAATATAATTGTAAGACCAGTACCACAGAGTTTATCTCACATCATCTGAGTTATGAGCTCATTAGGACTACGGAATCCTCTTGGTCCGAGGTCTGGCGAGGCTTCGATGAGCGTTGCTGAGATGAGGAGAACCAGTGGGTGAGCTTCTCCCCCAGAAGGGTGAGGAAGGCAACGCTGCAGCCGACAAAGAACAGATAAAAGGCGCCTTGCATGTGAGTGAGCCCCAGAACTACCTTCGTGTCATCACCCTGAGGTAGAGAGAAGGTGGATATGATACGTACATGTATGTGTTTCTAATTTATATTCTTCAAGGACTGCACTTGTGTGTTTTCTCTTCACCACCATAACACTACTTTGAGAAAAGGGAGCTAAAAAAGACGTGACGAGCTAATCAGTGACACAGTGAAAGAAAACATCACATAGAAATTCAGAATTACATTTAACAATACTATCTAGCGTCAGTGGGCCCTTCAAGGTGGTCCCTTGATGCTGGTGAAGGATTCTTGATTCAAGAAACAGGATCAATCCTCCTGATAGATCACATCTGATTACCCCACTTTTTTACCCACCCACTTTATGGCCTTTATGGGTTTAGTGCTTCCTTCTTAATAAAATTATAGATTCAGTGAATCGAAAGATATAAGGTGGGACCAAGAGCTGAACCTCATCCTACTTTACACAAAATAAAATGGGTAATTGCAAATATGTGATAGCATCACGGACTCACTGTTTTGCTGTATACAACATGTTAAGATATTCTAAATAATATTAAAAATTCCTTCTATATTCATGGGTTGCATACTGTATCAAAATATATCAGTAAAAAAATGATGTCCACATATATTATGGGTTAATTAGTGTTTATATTGTGTCTAAGAAAGAAAAATAATGTCAGGTTTACCTGCAGAGTGTTTGCCTGATTTAATTGATGGTTTACCTGCAGAGTGTTTGCCTGATTGATCTGATGGTTTACCTGCAGAGCGTTTGCCTGGTTTAACTGAAGGTTCAGTGAAGACGCTAGTCTGCTCTCTCTTACTCGTTTGGCCATGATGTCCTCGGTCCAGTAGCTAATTATACCAGTGTCTTCCAGCCGAGACATTAGCTGGATAAAACGTGAGTAAAATGGCGAGCCTTGCCTGTAAATATAAGAAGGAGCTTAGTGAAAGATGGGGCTCTGTTGTATATATATTTGTCACTTTATAACTCACTGATGAACTGGGATTTGCATGAACTGCATGTGAGTTATGCCACGAGATATTAGTTCAATAAGCACGTCACTAAAATCTGAAATGATACCGATGTTAGCCAGGAAGACTTGTTCAGAGTCAGACATGTATGTGTGTCTTCTTGCATTATCCACCTCTGATAAATGAATATATGTGAGTACAACATCAGACAACAATTACAGTATAGTGAGAGTTACAGTCTATTTTTTACTTCATGTAATTTTTCCCAATTCCTATGAATTTCAGCAAAACTGTAGTCTGTTACAACAACGTAAGTCTGGATACTTTCCTCAGCCCCCAGCCGAAAACGGCTATGACGGAGATTCCTTTGTTACTGATATAGAAAGGTGTGACACCGAAGGCGTCGGTGTAGCGGGAGGCAACTACCACGTTGATGTAGTTCTTGAAGTCTATAAGGGAGAACCTGCCTGCCAGTACCTTTTTCAGGGCTTCGTCTACCACTAGCACCTGGGGAAGGGAGACGGGGGAGGGGAAGATGTTTGTTTATGTATTTGTATGTATCCCATGTTGAAATTATGACACATGTGCAACATCTGGGTATCTTTATTTTTCTTACAATAAAGATACCCAGATGTTGGACATGTGTCTTAATTTCATCTTGTCGGTATTGTATACCATTCTTGTACAACATATACCCCATGTATTGAGGCAGTTACGTGCTTTGATTTGTGTATGCATTTGCTAATTCAGTGGTTTTGTACCTTAATGGCTGACAGAGGGAAACAGAGAGATAAATTATCTGCTTAAAATGTATGACAAAACCTCTGTAATATCTTGAAACTCTTATGAATTAATCTAATAACCTTTTATACTTAACTCACCTCCATACCTCTATAAACCCGGTTCACCGCAGGGTCAGTATGTTTGGCGAAATATTCATATGCTGCACCGCCGAACAGCCAAGGCTCAGTTCCCCATTTCCAGTTGTCCCGCTTGATCAAGTCCTGGAAGCTGTCCAGTGTGGGAGATTTACCCTGGACTGTCAAGTGAGCGATCAAGGAAGAACTGAACACTGCGCTGATCACCAGACAAAACATAAGCCACCACCCAACAAGCATCTGCAAGCAGGTAAATGCAGTTACTGATCACCAGAATATAGAGCTCAACGAATACATCAATGATATAATAATGTAATGTTTATACGTGACGAATCAGCATAAGAAAATATATAATCCGTTAAAAAATGTTTCTCATCAGTGTTTACAATAAAACTAAGAGATATTGTAATGTTGAATACAAGGTTTAAAAAAAGAGAAAAACCAGATTAACGAGGCTAGAAATAGTCAGTTATTCTATAAATTGCAAATAAAAACTCTACTACGTTACGGTCAGTCGTGGACCATTATCAGGCAGCAAACGAAAAAGAAAATTAGAAAAAGCCAGACGTCAGATCATGGAATGAAAGCAAGGACACAGCTGATATTATGTTACGTCAAGAGAATCCTTAAAATAAAAGCATTTGACAATGTACGTCAACAAGGCAAGAATGTACAGAAAAAAAATCGGTTATAATGTTTAGGTTAGGAATGTTTTGTATGAGGGTCAGTTCAACAAGATGACGTCTGTGAAGGTCAGAAAAGAATAGCTACCAAAATAAAATATATTTGTATAAATTATACTTCAAAATAAAGGGGATTGGCATATAAACAAATTATAGTGACATGGATATTTGTGAGATTTATTGAATTTTTTTAAAACAGTGGACTAAGGAAGTCCTCAGAGCTGTCTTTCTTGCTGGCAGTTCATATTATGTCGAGAACATATTTGCAACCTACAGTAGAAGATGAAACTAATCAAAGACATAAGAACATAAGAATAAAGGAACACTGCAGAAGGCCTACTGACCCATAAAAGGAAGGTCCTTATCAAAATCACCCCTACCCAAAGCTACCCAAGAAAGTATAGTCAGTATCGTGAGATTTTCCTACGAGACCAGTGACACTAACGCAAATACTGATCCCAGTTCACCCAGTTACTTGAGCATAGCTAACTTACCTGGCCACAGCTCCCCTACCTGGCCAGAACTCACTTATCCGTCCACTACATTCACCTACTTGAACACAAGTCTCGTAGCTGGCAACAACACTCCTCTGCCTGACCAAAACATGCACTTACCTGGCCAGACAAGTTGACGGATGGATCAGGAGGAGGCTGGCCAAGGAGCGCACCCCATCCGTATAGCATGGCGTTGATAAACTGGACCTTTTGCCCATCGGCAGCATACCACCATGCTCTCTGTAGCAGCCACAGAATCATGACCCACGCCATCATGCTTAACAGCAGTGCCGCCCACACCTCTTCTGCTTGGTAGAGAAATAACAAGACCTTCAACAGAAAAATCAAATACATCGCCAAGTTATTCTAGAAAGGTGATATTGGCAACTTTGTTTTAGATATACCCTCATCAGTAACCAAGTATACATGAGTAAACTCGTACGAACCAGAAAAAGGTCTGATTATTGAAAGGTAAGCAGGAAGCAATGCAGGTTTTAAAGATGTTATAACCATCACATCAGAGGGGTACGCTTTCAGAAATTCAACCACCTTGAGGCGACCAGCTGTAGGAGCCACTATGGTGCTGAAGTCTGTTTCTTCGCGCTGCAGTTGACCGATCATCCCAGTAAAACTACCGTTTCTCTCGTCGCCAAAGAAACGGTCAGGCTCAGCATATATGTCAAAGCTGGTGGTGGAGGCAGAGGTAAAGCCGTTATACTTATAGGTTTCTGTTGTGATTGAAAAAGGTTTTATGGGAATAAACATACTATTCTTGAACCTGAATGGTGTTAATTTGGAAATGTCATGCTTCGGAAATGGAGGAATAGATGATGCTAAGAAGGAAGGAATGTGAGTAGAAGGGAAGTGTATGAGGCAGAAGGTAGACTGAAAGAGAGAGTAAACCAGCAAAGCTGAACAGTTAACTCAATGGGTCATGTAAACTGTAATGTCAACTGTGACAAAATGAGTAACAGAGAAATCTTCACCTTCTAGATGTGAGCAATACTTTGATAAGAGTGAGGCGCTAGTTGGATGGTTAATTAGGTTTGAAACCTGTCGTCACGCGAGGGTCATTAAGGCTACACGCTAAATGTCACCTATGCATCACCAATAGAAAATTATTTAGTCCCAGATATGAGCGTATTAGTAATAAACTTTATGTGTACGTGGAATGAGATATATTACCCTCCACGTGCACATGCATTGTCCCCTCGGTGCACACACATCAAGAGAAATATACTCAACAGAATATATGTAATATGAGGGAGCTAACTGTTATATATCCAAAGGCTAACACAACAAAAATTCAAATGGTTCTAACGTAAAATTGATCGTTGCAGCGAACGTGTTGATTAACCGAACGTCGAGTGAATCTCTGGGACATATCTGGCCTCCACGTTCCTCGCCCTTCAGGTAGTAGTCCATGTAAGGGAAGTAAGGAACTGTCACAACACGGAACCTGTGACCTCTCAGGTTCTCCAGCTCATCTGAAAAAGCAGCAGCATTACTCGCGTACATACATACCACACACACACACACACACACACACACACACACACACACACACACCACACACACACACACACACACACACACACACACACAAACACACACACACACACACACACACACACACACACACCACACCACACACACACACACACACACACACACACACACACACACACACACACACACACACACACAAAATTGTTACCCTGGAAGAAGTCTTGAGGACGCAGAACTAATGACGGTGCAAAACATACTGACGTTCTGGACCTCAGCCTTCCCGTTGTTGCAGTACAGACAGCGCCGGTAGATCGTCAAGTCTCCTCTCACAGTCGCTGCTGGTGTTTATAAAACATTAAGGCCCTTTCTTTTTTGTGTATGTGTCAGTTTTGTTGGCATATAATAATTCAATGAAACACAGAGAGCATCTCTGTAATGAAATTTACTATTATATATATATATATATATATATATATATATATATATATAATATATATATATAATATATATATATATATATATATATATATATATATATATATATACATATATATATAATATATATATATATATATATATATATATATATTATATATAATATATATATATATATATATGTCGTGCCGAATAGGCAGAACTTGCGATCTTGGCTTAAATAACAAAGCTCATCTTGCCATATAGGACAAGTGAAAATTTGTGTATGCAATAATTTCGCCAAAATCATTCTGAACCTAACGAAAAAAAATATTTCACTGTGTTTGTTAGTATTAAATTATTGTAAACAATTCTAAAATATATTTAGTTGGGTTAGGCTAAAATAAATTGCTCTTTTTATAATAAGGTTAGGTAAGTTTTCTAAGTTCCTTTTGCAGCAAAATTATAAATTTTTACATCAACATTAATGAAAAAATTATATCTTTAAACGTATAAGAGAAAATTTTAGAAATCGACTTAATTTTAAATGAGTTCTTGCTAATTGACCAGTTTTACATATTCGGCACGACATACATATATATATATATATATATATATATATATATATATAATATATATATATATATATATATATATATAATATATATATATATATATATATATAATATATATATATATATATATATATATATATATATATACATATATATAAACATTTTTATTTTTTTTTCAACAAGTCAGCCGTCTCCCACCGAGGCAGGGTGACCCAAAGAAAAAGAAAATCCCCAAAAAGAAAATACTTTCATCATCATTCAACAAATGCACCTCACTCACACATAATCACTGTTTTTACAGAGGTGCCCAGAATACAACAGTTTAGAAGTATATACGTATAAAAATACACAATATATCTCTCCAAACTGCCAATATCCCAAACCCCTCCTTTAAAGTGCAGGCATTGTACTTCCCATTTCCAGGACTCAAGTTCGGTTATATAAAATTACCGGTTTCCCTGAATCCCTTCACTAAATATTACCCTGCTCACACTCCAACAGATCGTCAGGTCCCAAATACCATTTGTCTCCATTCATTCCTATCTAACACGCTCACGCACGCTTGCTGGAAGTCCAAACCCCTCGCCCACAACACCTCCTTTACCCCCTCACTCCAACCTTTTCGAGGACGACCCCTGCCCCTCCTTCCTTCCCCTACAGATTTATACGCTCTCCATGCCATTCTACTTTGATCCATTCTCTCTAAATGACCAAACCACCTCAACAACCCCTCTTCTGCCCTCTGACTAATGCTTTTATTAACTCCACACCTTCTCCTAATTTCCACACTCCGAATTTTCTGCATAATATTTACACCACACACACACACACACACACACACACACACACACACACACACACACCCCACACACACACACACACTATATATATATATAATATATATATATATATATATATATATATATATATATATATATATATATATATATATGTATATATATATATATATATATATATATATATATATATATATATATATAATATATATATATAATATATATATATATGGTGTGTGTGTGTGTCTGTGTGTGTCTGTGTGTGTGTATGCATGTGTTTGTATGTTTGTGTCTGTATCTACGTTAGTATTTACCTCTATATATTATATATTATATTTTGTGGTGCTCGGCATTAGGTGTCAATATTATACATGAAAATAAGGACAACTTTCGTAAATAATAGTGAATTTCTAACCTTCGTGATCAGTGTGTTTCCTGAAGATAAAGTGACGATGCCGTTGTGAAATGTGGAGGGCCAGGTAGATGGCGTGGAGGGTGAGGTCGTGGAGGGCCAGGTAGATGGCGTGGAGGGTGTTGCGAAGACTGTGATGAAGGAGGACATCCTTCACTCCAGCTCTCCCTCCTACCACCACCACTCCAGTTTCTGCCCACTTCCACAGCTTTTCTTGTTCTAAAAATCTTTAAATATACAGAATGTATGCATGTACGTATTATATATATATATATATATATATATATATATATATTATATATATATATATATATATATATATATATATATATTATATTTTTATTAATTATGATCACACTGGCCGATTCTCACCAAGGCAGGGTGGCCCGAAAAAGAAAAACTTTCACCATCATTCACTCCATCACTGTCTTGCCAGAAGGGTGCTTTACACTACAGTTTTTAAACTGCAACATTAACACCCCTCCTTCAGAGTGCAGGCACTGTACTTCCCATCTCCAGGACTCAAGTCCGGCCTGCCGGTTTCCCTGAACCCCTTCATAAATGTTACTTTGCTCACACTCCAACAGCACGTCAAGTATTAAAAACCATTTGTCTCCATTCACTCCTATCAAACACGCTCACGCATGCCTGCTGGAAGTCCAAGCCCCT